TAAATGAGCAAAAGCGTAACATTTGTATGTAGCATGCTTCATAAAACACTAAACTTAGCCCAAAAAGTAAGCGTGCATTTTGTTCCTGGCACTGATTGGTTAATAAGTGAATACAATTCGTTGAATGCACGATGCACTCAAAAGATTAGCAGCTGGGAAAGGCTATTGAACAAAAAGTACGCTTTCGTACTCAAAAAAGGATTACCCTTTTACAACTTTGACAACTTTGAAGCATGAACTTCGGAAGATCTAACGAAATGTACTTACTGTTACCCTGTGGATCCCAGGGTTTTGATATGTTCTACAAAGTCATGCAAAGACAGAGCATATATGCACTAAAAATATCTGTGACACTTGTATGATATGTATTCCACTTTGAACCACCATCTATTTCAATATTGTGAAAATATATATTTCCCAAATTATGAAATAAAGGAGCTTGTATTCGCGAATGCCGCTAACGCCTGTCGGCTACCGGATAAACCTACTTTATATTTTATGGGCAATTCATTAAAATATTAATGGAATATTGTCAGGTTCTTTTCATATTTAAATGAGTCGCCCATAGAATGGTAGGTTAATCCGGAAGCTGAAATCTTCCATTCCCAAATCATAGTCTTAGCTTGTATTCGCAAATGCAACTAACGCCTGTCGGCTACCGGATTAACCTATTATTTTACTGGAAACTCATGTCAATACGAATAGTACCTGCCACTATTCCATTCATATTTAAATGACTTGGTCATATTATACTTGGTTAATCAGGTAGCCGGAAGGCGTTAGTTGCATTCGCGAATATAAGGTTAGCTTGTATTCAATAATGCAAGAAACGCCTGTCGGCTACCGGATTAAACTACCTCTGGAGACATCGGGATTTTAAAGCGGCGTGCAAAGCGTAATCGGGTACACCCCAGTTGTCCGAAACCCAGTTGTCCGAAACCCATTACTCCGAAAAATAAAGTCATAATTTACCAGAGAAAGCGGGGGGCGTAGCTTACTTAAACTTACGTCAGTTTCATGCCATGTATTTGGCCAAATTAATGGCATGGACGCATTCTGTTATTCATAGATCTCTCTCTCACTTTGAATTGCATCCATTGCATGGCGTTACCAGAATGGCAGGAACGGGAGATTTATTTTACATTGTGATTCTAAAAAAAAGGTTATTAAAACACAATATATATTACGGAACAGTTTATCTTATCTTCTTCAATCTCTTTTATATAGGCAAAATAAAATGAAACATTTTGAAACAGATAAAATAATTTATCGCATAGAACTTTAAGAATAAAACAGTATACAAATTACGTTGTCAAAATATTTCGTCGCATTTAATTTCTTAGTCTCGGTCTCTTATCAAATCGTAAAAGAATAAAACATTCTATACTTAATCACTTGGGATTTATGTTTCGGCATTCGTTTCAGGCATTTGTTTTTTATGTTCTTCTCCTGAAATGTATTTGTTTGACAATAATCAGAGAAAGTGCGTATACGTATAAATATGCCACGCAAACAAACGGGTGTGACTTCAATTTCTTGTCTGTCTGAGGACGTATTGGGAACGAGGTAGAATTAAAGAATTCTTATGAACGAGTCATGCAAGATACTAGAACTAGTAAAGTAATGTAAATGGATAAGTTAATTTCTGATGGATCTGGATATAATATATTTCAAAACTTTGTAAACACTAGATAACTTCATTTAGGCAGATATAGTATCTTGATATATTTGGCTATCATGCGTTTAAAATACGTTCCTAAAACTATGAAGACGTTAGGTGAGAAATATTGCTATTGTACGTTCGAAAAGTATTTGGTTGTATTTTGTAGTTCTCAAGTTACCCATGAACTTTCGTGGGCTAATTAACGTCTTGACTTAGCATATTTAGCCTAATTTTGCAATGATGTCAACGTGATTCAAATGTTATGCTGTCGTGATTCGCAGAGGTTGCGACAAGATTCGTTTTACAACAGATGTAACTATGAGAACATGAAAGCTCATAATCCTGATTATGCAACCTTATACAATCGTTATCTTTGGGACAAGAGCCCAAAAACAAGGTACTCGTGAACGAGAGTTGAATTTGCTCCGTGAACGATAGGATACGCTGTTCCCCACCAACAAAATACAGACATATGCTTCAGTGTCCTCAACGCAGATTGTAGAGAACAAGAGAAAAAATGAAATATACTTTGCCATAACAGAATACTGTTAAAGTATTGTTTATTAAGTTTATTAAGTTTCACAAATAACTTTTAAATGCCTTCTTTACCGTCAACGGACACTCAAATAAATACACAATACAATGCAATGCAATGTAATACAACGCATTACAATACAAACTAAATTAGAGTATTTGTGCATAGCATTTTCCCCTTTTGTTTGAAGGATATTTTAAGAATAATTCCAGCGTTCGTACACACCTGGAAATGTCAGGGTTTTGATTTAATTTTCCAAGTGCCTGAAATGTCAGAGAATTTTAAAATAAGGTCAAAAAGGGCCAAAGAGTCCGGGAATTTTGAAACTGTAGACATGTCATGGAAATGTCAGGGAAATTTGTATCAGTGTTGAAAAAATGATGTTCCAGAAAAATAAATTTTAGGACTATGACAGGATCTCAATGAAATCCAAAATGTAACATTTAGTTGATTCCACACGGGGCGTGTACATTGTCTAACATATATCTAAAAGGTTTACACTGTCTTGATTAATGAACTTCTTAGATCTAGTCGCGCTTCAGAAGTGGAAATCCTTCAATTATCAGAGGTTAATGTTTCTAAAACTGTATTGAAATAAACGTACGTCTTGTTTTCAAACCTACACCTTGCTCCTTTCTGTCGTATTAATAAAGCAAAAATAACATATCACGGTGGGATACGAACCACTCGCCTGGGATTTGGTTATTCACTAACACCATAGGCGTTCACCTATTCTGGATACAACTGACGAGTTGTATCTAAGTGGAGTCAAAAGCGAAGATCATTCTAAATTGACGCTCGGTATAAATATATGATACTTTTATCATCTCACACAGGTGAACGTTAGCCTCATGGCTAGCGTGTTTAGCTTCCACTCCTTAGGTTAGTCGATCGAAACCCGTTCATGGCGAACTTTTTGATTTGCTTGCTGTCAACTTATAATAAGTAGGGCAAAATCCAGAAAAAGTAGATCAAAAATACTCCAATGGAGTATAAAATTGTCACCAGGATTCCGAAATGAGACGAATGTTAACTCGTTAAATCTCGGTAGATAAAGTAGGTCAGAAAATCCGGATTAATCCGAACTGATTCGGGAATCTTCGTCATAAGAAGTAGATCAAAAATCCAGAGAAGTAGATCAAAAATACTCCAATGGAGTATAAAATTGTCACCAGGATTCCGAAATGAGCCGAATGTAAACTCGTTAAATCTCGGTAGATGAAGTAGGTCAGAAAATCCGGATTAATCCGAACAAGGTTCGGGAATCTTCGTAATAAGAAGTAGATTAAAAATACTCCCTATGGAGTATAAAATTGTCCCCAATATTCCGAAATACGACGAATCGAATCGGCAAACTTCGGTAAAATAATGAAGTGCATAAAAACCGAAATGATCCGATGAACGTTCGGATAAAATCGTGAACAAGTGTCAGGGGTTTCCCCTCATCTTTCCCCACATTGTTCTAAAAGCCTTATATGGATTTATCACGTAACATTCAAAATGACGTTCCTATATGGTTCTATGGGTTCGAACACGTGACCAAATATACCAAATAAAAATTTTACCTTGACCACTGGATGGGATTTCATAGAAAATATCCAAGAAAACCTATCCTCGTGATCCTTAAATCACTTAAATTCGATCATTTTATTTTCACCCCTTGATGGAATTTTATGAAAGAAGTCATGAAAACACATCATCATGTAAGGGTTTTCACCTAAATTAGCTCGTTTTATCTTGAGCCTTCAATTGAATTTCTTGAAGAAATATTTTATGAAAAAATATCATCATGTTATGATTTGTATTTAAATAAGACCGTTTCATCTAAATACTTGGATAATATTTCATAAAAAATGCACTTTAAAAATTTTCAGAATTTGCCTTAATTTATCAATGTAATGAAAGTATTAGATTAACTCTCAAATAGCGTTCTATTTTAACCTTTTTATTGAAATCAATACAGGACTCGCTCTCTAAATATCCAATAAAAATTCAACCCTTGGATGTGATTTCGTTGGAAAAAAAATATGTCAAGTCCAGAATCAAATGATTTGTCCAGAACCTCTTAAGATCCTGTTATGATTTTGAAGAAACAAATCGGTCAATTTGAAGCAAGATGAAAAATACTTTTTTGACCTTGGGAAGCTCATTGAAGGTCAAATATTTGTTTACCTTGAGAATGTCATTGAAGGTCAAATCTATACTCAGATTGAACTGTTGAGGACTTATAGATAATTTTAACCTTGAGAAGGTCATCCAAAGTCAAATTCTGAAATTCTGAATATTTCATTCCGAAAATTCACTATGTTAAAAGATAGATTGATCTTACATACCAATCACTAATACATGCAGCCATATTTAGCTCTGGGACATTATGATAAAAGGCGGGTGAGACACAGTTAATCAGAAATGTATTTAAACTTCGCGCACCCCCTCATTCATTGGCCGATAGAAAAGTATACGGTAGAAAGCCGAACGCCGAATACATTGAGGTTGCAAACGAGGCACGTTCTAGGTTTTACGTTCGCTCTTAGGCCACCTCAGAATTAACTTAGAGTGCTTAATGACAAAAACCGATGGTAAACCAATGTGAGGGACAATTTGAAAGGAGATGCGCTGAAGAACATGATAATTATGTCATGGGAGGCAATAGAAATACGCAAAAGCAGTTGTGCTTACCAGTAAAAAGCAGTGAAATCGTTCATTTATTGCAGAGAGATAATACTGATCAAAGAAAAGTTTATTTTTTTCGAGGACACTTGATGTATTGTATTAATTGTGATATCATTTTTACAATATTACCTTTTCGTTTTCGAACTCATCCCTTACTGCAACATAAGCATTGTCAAACTCGGCAAACACGTTACTGAATCCCCTCTGAAATTTGAATTTGAATTTCATAATTTATATACAGATAATATCACAACACAAGTATAAGTGATGAATGCCTGGACAAGTAAAAGTCACTGACGTACTTCCACAGATTTAATATGCTCCTCTTTAAACTTCTCCATAGTTGTCCCAAGCTTTGATTTAGAGATTATGTCAATGTTTGGCGATGGTTCTGTCACACCATTCCTCCAGGAGTTAACAGAGTTGTTCCAACGCTGGAGAAACGCAGAAACCAAAGCATGGTCTGTTTCATTGATGTACTTTAACACATTGTCTGATTCATTCAATGATAAAGATGTCCCTAGATCACTGTTGTCTGATATGCTCAATTCAAACTCTTGATACCAAGAACCAAGACCAATATTAAACCTACAATGAAATCAAATAAAGTTTAAAAATCCACTAGACCAATTATATAGAACCTTAACATTTGAGCTACGCATTTCCTTTACGGATTCTTCCAAAAAGACAGCTTCCAAATTTAAAAGCAATAATTTTACAGCACGATTCAGAGGTTCCGTAAAGCATCACGGTCAACCCGGAGATGTTTAAATATAATTGGGTGAATTTGGCTATGCACGACTAGTTGCTGTCTCTGTTGAATTCATAAAAGTATTCCCGGATATTTTATAATGGAATACATGCAATTAAAGTACAGTGCTGAAAGAATCAAACTAAAACGTTATAAAACCAAAATAGCATTTTGGAAGTGCTGCTTACATTTCCTCATTACCATATATATGGTAGGCTAGTTGATACATATCATGAACAATGGAATTGGCAGTTGCCATATTGAGATGAACATCTTGAATAGCTGAACGCCGTTTACGACTGCCGTTCCTATTCAACTTTGGACAGTCAACTGCAGCAATATAGAGACAACTGGAAAAGTAATATTAGGAGTTAAACCCATTTACAGGTGGATAAATGACCACGTTTAATGTTTGGTATTTCATATCATTTGAGTTACATATCTCCACAGACACCATAGGGCATATACATGTGGTAAAGTACTATTTGAATTTAAAAAATAAGCAATCAAATGTAAAAAAAGAAACATTTATATTCATCCTAACTTTTGTATATTTTAGTTTGTTTTGTAGTTAAGCTATCGTATCTGTGTCCTCTTAATTAATATTATGAGCTTTATTATACGTGTATCCCACATTTGGGCAAAGTGTACAGCTTAAACAGAGAAAAAAATGAAACCCACATTGGGGCAAAGTGTACAGCTTAAACAGAAAAAATGAAAAAGCTTAACTAATTATCTATTATATTATATTAACTAATCAAAGGGTGCTTGATCATTGCAAGATTTTATTGGATGCATTTCGTGTTTTTTTCTCTCTCGATAAAAATATTTGATATATATTTTGCGAGTATATTTAATATTATTCCCTCTGAATTAAATAGAAACATTAATTTATGTTCCACGTTATTCATGTTTTCTAAATTTTGACAGTGTTTTTTTTATTTTATCCATGTAACTTGAACGAACATCTTTTAACTTATTGCATTCTAATAGGAAATGGCATTCTGAACCGGTTTTCTTGTTACACATTAAACATTTTCTTTCTTCAATAGGGGTAATTGGTTTTGTGTAACGACCTGTTTCGATTTCTAATTTATGTGCGCTAATTCTTAGCTTTGTCAAGTTATTTCTGTCTAATTTAATTTATTTTTCTAATTTTAATTATATTTTGATACTTCTCTGCCTCGTTATTTTCGGAAAAATTAACATGGCTGAGACTCCCTAAATTACAAAAGGCCACAGCTTTGCTGCACAATAATTCATTACTATCTGAAATATACAAAAGCTAGGATAAGTATACATGTTTTTATTTTTACATAAACTGTTTCAATTTGGTCATTGAATTGCTTATTTTTTAAATTCAAAGTACTCCCAAACATTTATGATTTTACTTTAGGATAATGTAAATTGATATCCTAAGGTAGAAACAGCTCCCCGTATTAATTTGACAGGAACTGGTATCTTTATCCTGGCTAGGACCATCGACATTTCAAGCCAGCAGAGGCCTTTTATCGAGTTAGTATCACTCTAGTAATTAACTCTCTGGTGTACTAGTTAGCATAGGGATAAGCTGGCACATTTTTGCCCGTGCTCGGATTGAACCCAGGACCTCGGCATCAAAAGTCCAGAGTGCTAACCTTTACATCATAGAAAATGTCAAAATGTGTATGCTTTGAATCGGCAAGAATTGTGCTTCATAGATATTTCACACGAACAAATTAGTTTTCATTATATTTTAAAATTCTATTGAGAATATGATGCTAACAGTTTTGAATTCCTGGACAATTGAGGTTAACCCCTTCATTCACATTGAAGTAGACATCTCAATAATGAGTTATAACGGGTTTACAAAATATTACTTTCGTTGTAATAAAATCTTACCCTAACAGGCTTCCAGCTGTACCTGGTATACAATCACCAGAGACTTTCAGAACACTGTTTAAGACACTTTCTCCCCCTTTCCACTCACCTGCGTTATATATTGTACAATTAAATCTGAAGATTAGTGTTTTATGTTACAGATCTACTAAAATCAACGGATTGCATTCCTACCTACATCCTACATCTTCAGATCTTCTTTAAAACTAGATTGATCTTAAAAGTATCAATTGAAAACATGTAAAGGTATGAGTATGGTATGAGTATTGGTTTGTCGATTTATATTTATTCTTCAACATATACGTATAATGTAATGGCTCCTATATGGACGAGATGTAAATGGAGCTTGGATGATAGGGGAGGGGGCATTAGACCGTGTTTCTTCTCACGTTGTATTATGGTTTGGGACAGTTGTAGTTTGTTTTCCTTATACCGATGTAAAAGAAATTATGGTCCCCTGGGGATTATGATCCCCAGCTTTCCTTGCGGCCCTTACTGGCCCTGACTGTGTATGAATAATAAGGAAAATAATTGTAATTAGGTCACCATATAAATCAGTAGAGAGTAGGACCAAAATTTGATAGGACCACCTACCCTTTTACAGCTGTATACTCTTTAAGCGTTTTCTTTTTCTTGCTGAGTTCTGTTACATTTATTTTATCTATTTATTGTTTATTTAAGTTCACAAAATCATCATCATCATCATTAGCCAAATAAGAATACAATATTAAATAAAAACCACATAATCCAAGTAACACATGTTAAAAGATTGTACGATTCACTAAACAGATGCCCTGGGTGATGGCTGCACACTTTCAAGAAATACGACACCGAGTCGAGGCTGAGTATATTAATTTGACACGTCTTGGAAATGATGGTGTATCATATAAGAAAAGTTTTAATTTTCCCATTTTTGTTTGAAATTAATTTAAATAACCAAAATCTAGGATTCACTTCAAAGTCTATTAAAAGTAGTTTTTTGAGGGGATAATTAAAAGCATGATGTGTGGTTTCATTACTAGTATCATGATTGCAAAAACATGTAGGAGCTAGGTCTTTTGTAAAATTCTGAGCGTGAAGATGTGGTTGGAAAATAAGATCTGATCTGACTCTATTAAAAATTATTCCTCTATACCTCCATATAACAAGGCATCAAGCTTCATAATTTTGATCAAGTTGTTTTAAATCTATAACTTTACCACACCCATAGATGATGTCATAGAAGTCAAAATGTCGCAAAATACAGGAGGAAAACCTCAATTTTAGGTCGTTCCCTCTTAATTTAGAAGCTAGGCCCAATGCATTTAACGGATTTAAAAGTTAATCTATTTTACAAAGCATTTAATGAATATGTGGGTATGGGTTTGATCTAAAACCATATCCAGGTGTTTATGTGTTTTAACCTTTGGTATTGCTTCATCCCTAAGATATAGTTCGGGGGTCAAAATTTCGGACTTAGAAAGATTGTAAAATGTTCATTCATTGCCATATTTCTGACGACTTTTTGTTCTTTCCCTTTGGCACGTTTAATTACATATTTAAGACGGACAAAACATGAATGCGACAACTTACCAATTGCTATTAATATGGTTTTGGTACATCTATAACGAATACTAACAGCACTTAATACACCCGACGTGTATGCTTTACGTATAGGTCCATAAAATGGTCCAAAATGTGGCACCATCGGTAGGAGGCAGTCCAGAATCAATTTCTTGGCACAATCACATGACATAGGCGTTACTGCCTCATATTTACGTACGCTCGTAGAAACAGTGGATTTTCCACCAGGCCCTGAACTTACTATTATACCTAAAAAAATTATATAAATCGAACTGAAATAAATTATTTGATGTAATTATTTTTCCTAAGTAAGGAAATGGAAACGCGTAGGGTATTTCCGTAAAGAACAACATGATATACTCTCCGAAAACCGCCATTTTATTTCACATGACAAAATCACCAATGAAACTAGAAATCAGCAACTCCACTGAGTAGCAAATCCAAACAAAACATATAAATCTATGAATCTGTGGTTGTCACAGTGTAATATTTACTCTATCTACTCTACCTTTATATATATTTGTACGTTCGCGGGTAATGTACTTATAGCGTAATATTCTCACTGAGATACGCAATACGTTTACGTAATACTACGGTAAATTGCCCTAACAATACACACCAATCTTACCTTTATCGTTTCTTATACCTGGCCCACCGCTTCCACAAATATTTGTAGGAATGCGAGACATTTCTTCTCGGCGCTGTAGCATAATTTCTATATCATTAGTTCTGAGAACACCACAATAATAGTCCCAAAACAATTTTAATCCAAAAACCAAGCACAATAGTAAGTTTCTTTTCTGCCGAGATTTCTCAAACACGTTCACCGGAACAATAAGGGTTGTGTTTGGCTCGATGTCGCCGATGTTAGGAACAGTCTGTAATTCAACATATTGCATATCAAGTTCTGTAAGTTACAACAAGAGGTACAGTTTGATTACATGTATTTCATGTACAAGCTTTAACTTTCATTTGATCGATGTTTTTGATGAACTTTAGGGACGAATCATTAATATAATATAATATAATAATAATATAATATAATATAATATAATATATAACCCTTATATCTCCTTATCATCTTAAGACGGATGCTAACCAAATACATTATGGGCTAATGCAGGCAAGAAAACTAACCAGGCGAATAATACGGAAATAAAAAGTATAACGCCAATGTAGCGAGTAAAGTTGAATGTGCGACATGTTTCAAAGTCCTTTTCTAATGTAAACGGTATTTTTGATTCATTGCACGCATAAGATTGAATTTATTGAAAGATGGAAAACGCATTTGATATCAATCTGTATGAACTCGAGTGCGGGGTGGTTTGTCGGAAGAGCAAATCTAAGGTTCTGTGCCCTTATCAATCCATGGTTCGTAATCGTGAATACAATTTCATCTTTTTCCCCCCTCTTCCAAAGCAGTCAGATCCACCTGTCGTGGCTCTATTGTAACAACTGGCATTGGTACCTTATAATAAATATGATAGGACATGGTATAATCAATGTTACGAGGCCCGATCAGAAAGTAAGTAACCAACTGCTCTTATTTTTCCATACTTTATTGACGGCTTCATTACTGTCAAAACAGATTCCCCGCAACGACATCCTTGCATTTGGAAAGCGATATTAGTCGCAAGGGGCTGGGTTTAGGGAATAGGGAGCCTCGGGTTGTTGTGTGACCATGGAGAAGGCTTCATCTACTGCATCTTTGGTAATGTGGGCTCTGTGGGGTGGAGCAAACATTGTTGTCATGCCAGTAAAATCCCACTCCATTCAACCACATTTGACTTGATTGAAACTGTGACTGAACGATGCCCATCATTATGACACATATATCCTTGATTTCTTTGTGTCCAGAGGCCCGAATGAGAAATGAGACAATGGAACGTAGTTACCATTGTGATAATATACATAAAACAAATTATGCAGTCTTGCGTGAAAATGTGAGATCATTTGGAGGAATATAGCATGTAACAACTCTAAAAATCATCTTTTAAAGCCGTTTACAAAAGTGTACCCCTCCTATCCAAAACAATCGCCACCATAGCAACAGCCTCTGTGCTATTATAGAGTCCCAATCCACTGCTTGATTAATGAAAATCGTAAAAAACATACCTCGGTTTCAAATGTTGAATCTAAGGTGACGATGTATTTATCTTGGTATGTAACAGGGGTAACAGTCCAGCTATACTTGACTGCCGTTCTCTGTAGGAAGACTGTCACATTTGGGTTGGCTGGAGATGCCAGAATGACAGCACTGTATGACGTATGCCTGTCTGCACTCACTTGTAAATTGTAGTATGCTTCTTCAAGATCTTCAAACAGCAGCTCTGTAACGATAGATCAATGTTTAATTGATTGCTGGTCTCGGGAAATGGTATTTATATTTCAATGCATTAATCCAAGGTATACAGTCAACTGAGCAGCGAAATGTGCCGGTAATGCCTGGGTCACATTTGTCCCGATTCATCGGCCGGCGCCCGATTGAATATTCTGTTCAAAATTGTATAGTTTTGACGAGGATACCCAATCGGCCGGGCGCCGGCCGATGAATCGGAGCAAACGTGACCCAGGCATAAGTATACACTCATGTTTTTACATTCCAATATATAATAATATAGATACGTCGCAAAACGCTCGTGCACGTATATTGTTACACATTTTCGCTTTTTAACACGACAGACTGAAACGATTTTGAGAAAAATGTGCACATATGGAAAATCTTTCGTCCTCCAAATTACCCCCTATATCTCAAAACATTTAGGATGAATAACTCTGATATCGTAGATATATCAACAAGCGGTGAGGAGCATCATAAAACACGATTATTTGACATTTTAGCTAAAGAGAACATATGTGTTGCTATTTTTGAAAATAGGTGAATAGCGTAAATTAGGCCTATTTTAATGAATTTTGAAAACCTTTCGTCCTCCGCTTTTCTACATACAGTAGAAAACACTTACCTTTGCAAACAAAATCAACTATGAATTAATAAAACTAGAGTTTACGAGCAAAATAATCATATAAAATTCATTAAAAATTGGTCTCGTATATTTTGGTTAATGTACACCTGAAAAGTTGAAGGTAACAAAAATTGAGACAAAAAATCGCTGTCCAAAAATTCTATTTTTCAAACTATTTGACGTCACAATATGGGACAAAAAATCGCTCTCCAAAAAGTATGTTTTTCAAACTTTTTGACGTCACAATATGGGGTTATTTATTTATTTATTCGTTTTTATAGTTAAATATTGTTTGAGTTATGAGCGTTTAAAGAAGAGAAATTATTCAAAATGTAACGTGTCCACAGCGGGTATTTGCAAGATTTTTGGGTAAAAAACTATTTTTAAATAAAACGAGCAAGACTTGTGAAAGGAGTGTACCTAATTTGAAAACCTCATAAAAGCAGCTTTAAAATGATATATTACTTTTATTAGAATATTATCTTATTTTACAAGAAATTAAAGTATAAATTTATGCGACACCCTAAAACACGTGCGTGACATTTTTGCGACGTGTCATAGTATTCTTTATTCCTTAAAAAATCAAAGGAAAAATACGCAAAAGAATTATATCGATTCAATAATGCCTAAGTCTCATTTGAGCCGGCTGACGGCTGATTAGTAGGAATCGGCCGATTTCCGGTACCGGAACCGGTGATTTTTTCTACGATGTTTTGAATTTGCAATGGGTAGGGTCACTTTAGGTATGAGCATCGTAAGGCGCCATCAGTTATTTGGCCAGAAATGGTCGATTTTGAACAAAAACTCATCTGCTGGGCGCCATAATGAAAATGGAAGCAAATGTGATCAAGGCATCAATTACAGCTTTAAAGGAATATTCCTTGCCAAACCATCTCTCTCCTCATATGGTAGTTATAACCATATATATGCTTGCCATGTTTAGCAAAACACGCAAAAATGTTTTGATATAGTCAAATTTGATCACTTAGAAATGTGATGCTCAATTCCAGTAAGCTGCCATCTTTTAAAATTTCACACAGGAAGTGATGTCATCGACTCTCAACTTTGCATAAAGCATTAGGTGAGGAGCTATTAAGAATTACAAAACCAGCTAAATATTCTTTTTCAACTTTGTATCTTATTTAATTCTTTTGAAAATCTCTTCTTTTATTCTAAGTTGACAAGCCCTGAAAATATTTTTGCACAGAAAGTAATGTTCACTTGTCTAGAAGTGATTTTGTGCTACTTTCCTATACTGTAATAGGCAAGGTTATAGAAGTTGAGAGTTGATGACATCACTTCCTGCAAGAAATCTTAAAAGATGGCAGCTCAATGGAAATAAGCACTAGATTTTTAAATGATCAATATTGACCATATTAAAACATTTCCCATGTTTTGCTAAATATGGAAACTATATATATGATTATAGCTACCATATCAAGAGAGAAAGGGTCTGACAAGGAATATTCCTTTAAGACTGGATTGGCCTACCTGTGCTATTTGAGGTTGTGTGGGTTTCAATAACGTTTCCCTTTTGTGGATTCCTTAGCTTTACTTTAGCTCCCACAACCAACGGGTCCCCATCAGTGTAATATGTATATTCATCTTCTACTCGTATTCTCAAATCAACTTTATTACTAGACGTGATAAGGATTTTATATCCAATTACAGCCTCTGAGAGTTTTGATCGAACTATCATTGAACCACGTCGGTCTCCGATGGATTCTGTTGGAGGTACGGTAATCGATAAAGACAACGTTGCTTTCGTTGAGGCAGAGATGGTAAATGTGCCATCTTGGTTGACGGTAGAATTTTCTGTAAAATGTAAAAGATGCATGTTTAGCGATTCGGTAAATGTACCGCCTTGGTTTGTTCTAGAGTTAGCTGTATATTATAATACACAAAAATACTGTGTACACTATGTTTTGTTGAGGCAGGGATGGTGAATGTGTATCTTTTTTAACGGTAGAATTTTCTGTAAAGAATGCATTTTTTGTTTATGGTAAAATATGGAAATATCATTGAAAGGAAATATAGGTGAGTTCTTAACAGAGAGGTGAAAAATAAACGCTGAAAAAAGAAAAACTGTATAAAACTGCAATAATGTTGTATATATAAACATTTGATAAAATCACCTGATACTGGAGCAAATGAGATGAGAGATAGCAAAGGATCAGCACTCAGTTCAATTCTTACATCAAGAGCGGAAATTATTCCCTCATTGCCAATAATAATCTACAAAAATACATAAAATGATTATGATTTTCCAATGTGAAAGAAAGGGAACTAGAATACCTCTTACATTTTTTATATTAAAGCTCTTCTAAACAATAATACATATACCTTTGTTTATACTATTCATTAACAAACATCGTATAGTGAATTTAAAATAATTGTTAACCTCAAAACTCTTTTGCTCCCCTCTATTCACACTTGTAGAGAGGAAGTTGGGGTTCGCTCTAAGCAAAGGTGTCCTTACATCGAGCCTTAAATTTAACCAGTATTCAGCAATTGTCCCAGACTGGGAATTAAATATAATTCCAATTCTCCCTCGCACGGGCTCACTGGCATCTAGGTCGATATCAAATGGCACACTTTGGCCAGAAGCTACCTTAGATAGAAACATTGTATTGCTGACAGTTGCCTTGTTGCTTGGTTTGACAATTAAGCTTGTAAGGGGTGGTCCAAATCCTTCCAACTAAAACGATAAAAATGTCACAAAGGAAAACTTAAATCGATAATAAAGAACAATACTGAAATTGACGAATTGAGAAATTTTGAATTATTTCTACATTTACTTAGTCGATTGAATACACTGACATTGTCTCGGATTATCAGTTATGTTCTTTCATTGTTCATTCTTAAAGAGTAAACGAGATCCCTCAAAAAACCTAATTTACCTCAACAGATATGTTGTATAATGGCAGAGATCCAGTATTAACCAACTGAGCCACTTCAGACAACTTGCTGTCATCCAAAAATCTTCTGTGATACGCACTTGCAGGCTGCACTTGCATCCCCAGCACTGTCCATTTAGCTTGGGTATCACACCTATTGTCAGACGGGTGTCTGGCACCCTGTTATTGAACACAAATGTGTGATGTATTTTGTGTAACATTGGTCTTATAAATTGATTTGGAAATATTGTTGCATTTACTTACAACTTCGAATAAGCCACTGTCTGCAGGATTCGGGTAGTATACTGCTGCATAGCGCCCTCTGTCTACTAGATCGGTAAGTGCTGGTATTTTACGAGTTCTTCCTTTGTTCTTTACACTAATAACAAGACTAATAAATTGAAAATGTGAACTAAACAAGCATAGTCGTTTTTGAAAATATTTTGTAGAGAAACTCAGAAAATGACTATTTGTAACAGGATCTTAAGAGGTTCTGGACAAATCATTTGATTCTGGACTTGTCATATTTTTTTTTCAACGAAATCACATCCAAGGGTTGAATTTTTATTAGCTATTTAGAGAGTGAGTCCTGCCTAGTATTAATTTCAATAAAAAAGTTAAAATAGAACCCTATTTGAGAGTCAATCTAATACTTACATTACATTGATAAATTAAGGCAAATCCTGAAATATTTTTAAAGTGCATTTTTTATGAAATATTATCCAGCAAGTATTTAAATGAAACGGTCTTATTTAAATACAAATCATAACATGATGATATTTTTCATGAAACATTTTTCAATGAAATTCAATTGAAGGGTCAAGATAAAACGAGCTAATTTAGGTGAAAACCCTTACATGATGATGTGTTTTCATAACTTCTTTCATAAAATTCCATCAAGGGGTGAAGATAAAATGATCGAATTTAGTGATTTAAGGATCACGAGAATATGTTTTCTTTGATATTTTCTATGAAATCCCATCCAATGGTCAAGGTAAAATTTTGATTTTGATTTTGATTTGGTCATGTGTTCGAAAGATCCATATAAGGCCCATAGAACCATATAGGAACGTCATTTTGAATGTCACGTGATAGATCCATATAAGGCTTTTAGAACCATTTATGGAAAGATGAGGGGAAGCCCATGACACCTGTTTCACGATTTTTATGCACTTCATTATTGTACCGAAGTTTGCCGATTCGATTCGTCGTATTTCGGAATCCTGGTGACAATTTTATACTCCATTGGAGTATTTTTGACCTACTTCTTATGACGGAAATTCCCGAACCTTGTTCGGATTAATCCGGATTTTCTGACCTACTTTATCTACCGATATTTCACGAGTTAACATTCGTCTCATTCCGGAATCCTGGTGACAATTTTATACTCCATTGGAGTATTTTTGATCTACTTTTTCTGGATTTTGCCCTACTTATTATATCTTGACAACAAGCAAATCAAAAAGTTCGACATGAACGGGTCTCGATCAACTAACCTAGACTATGGAAGCCAGGCACTATCTTCTTTTAGAATATCTGGAAACAGGTCAATGGTAGCTCCTGTGTTGTCTGGAAACTTTGAAAGAAAATTTGGAAAAATAGGAAGTGTGAAATATCAGAATTTCCTGGAGTTCCCATTGAACGCCTACCAGATATTTTAAAAGAAGACAATGTAATGATACTTTCCTGAAAAAAGCAAGGAAATTGACACATGGCTTCATACTTTATTTTGTATTAGAAAATAACATGTGCTGGGACTTGGTTATTCACTAGCGCCATAGGCGTTCTACTATTCTGGATACAACTGACGAGTCGTATTTAAGTGGAGACAAAAGTGAGGATCATTTTGAATTGACGCTCGGTATAAATATATAATACTTTTGTTCTTTCATATCGGTAGCTCGTTGGTCTCATGGTTAGCGTGCCTGGCTTCCATAGTCTAGGTTAGTTGATCGAGACCCGTTCATGTCGAACTTTTTGATTTGCTTGTTGTCAAGATATAATAAGTAGGGCAAAATCCAGAAAAAGTAGATCAAAAATACTCCAATGGAGTATAAAATTGTCACCAGGATTCCGGAATGAGACGAATGTTAACTCGTGAAATCTCGGTAGATAAAGTAGGTCAGAAAATCCGGATTAATCCGAACAAGGTTCGGGAATTTCCGTCATAAGAAGTAGGTCAAAAATACTCCAATGGAGTATAAAATTGTCACCAGGATTCCGAAATACGACGAATCGAATCGGCAAACTTCGGTACAATAATGAAGTGCATAAAAATCGTGAAACAGGTGTCAGGGGCTTCCCCTCATCTTTCCATAAATGGTTCCAAAAGCCTTATATGGATCTATCACGTGACATTCAAAATGACGTTCCTATATGGTTCTATGGGCCTTATATGGATCTTTCGAACACATGACCAAATCAAAATCAAAATCAAAATTTTACCTTGACCATTGGATGGGATTTCATAGAAAATATCAAAGAAAACAGTCTCGTGATCCTTAAATCACTTAAATTCGATCATTTTATCTTCACCCCTTGATGGAATTTTATGAAAGAAGTTATGAAAACACATCATCATGTAAGGGTTTTCACCTAAATTAGCTCGTATTATCTTGACCCTTCAATTGAATTTCATTGAAAAATGTTTCATGAAATGTTATGATTTGTATTTAAATAAGACCGTTTCATTTAAATACTTGCTGGATGATATTTCATAAAAAAATGCACTTTAAAAATAGTTCAGGATTTGCCTTAATTTATCAATGTAATGTAAGTATTAGATTGACTCTCAAATAGGGTTCTATTTTAACTTTTTTATTGAAATTAATACTAGGCAGGACTCACTCTCTAAATAGCTAATAAAAATTCAACCCTTGGATGTGATTTCGTTGAAAAGAAAATATGACAAGTCCAGAATCAAATGATTTGTCCAGAACCTCTTAAGATCCTGTTTTGTATAATATTTTACGAATTCTTTTTTTAGTACTAATATCAGATACCTGTATATGTGCAACGACTGATTGTACTCGTTGTACTTATACAAATGAATGGTATTGACAAGGGATTGATTCATACATATGTGGTCTACATGTTGTAAAATATTAATATTAATAAAAGGTACCAAATGTGCACCAGAAGTGTTCCTCTTCTATTTTCCCATTCCTCTTCAAAAAGATCAACATAACCATAAATGTAGACTTCCGATGGTCGTGACAAAATACCACTGACAGACAATGACGTCACTGTGACATTGTAGCTTAAAGAAACGCTAAGTTTAAAGGTGTAGACATCTGAACCAATAGCATTCTCTACCCGTATGCGAACTTCCTTTAAAAAAAAGTTACACTATATGTTTGCAGGATCCAGATTTTTACAAAATAAAGCTTCAGAGATCGATTCAACTGATGCTGTAAACATCCATGTTTAAATGATGCTCATTATTCACAGAATCAAAAACTTATCCATTACTTACATAAGGTTCCTTCTGTGCCACAGTCCTAGACCAAACCAATAAACCAGATCTTGGATCAAGAGATAATCCCGAAGGCCCATTTAGCAGCTGCCATGTTACTGGTCTAGTTCCCTACAATGAACTCTAGGTGATACAAAATGATAAAAACAAACCGCTGTGGGTTTGTAATTTACACCTTTGAGACACAAAAAGTACAATGCATTAAAATGACATATGTACATGCGTTTATAGCATATATCTGCTTATTTATAAAATTAAGGATAGTCGCCATCTTATCATACAGTACCTGCTTTATATCCATTTGAGCTGCATATCTCTTTCCCTCTCGGGCGGAAGTAAGATTAACCTCTTTAAACAATGGTGCTATAACAATATCTTGACACGACTCTCCTTCCCAGGGTAGAACACATGAACATTGTCCAAACAAGCAAATTCCATGAGGTGGTGTTTCATTTCGTCCACAAGCACTGCTTGGACATGTAGGGTGGTATCTGAATTTAACCTAAATGTGTAAAATGTTCTATAATTAGTTTTACATGACAATCAATTACAATACATACTATCCAGAGAGCAAGTATATGCTAAGTTTGGAGTCCTAATATGTACTAGTTTTATCAATAACTAACACAGACATCATTTCAGTCTAAGTCAATGGTGGAATATATTTTTGCCTTATATGGCACACATGTGCTTTTTCCCATGATTCCATTTAAGAGCGCCATCTATGAATGGACTCAATAATAATTGATAATTGAACATAAGTATACTCACTCTTTCATTTGTTAATTCGCCTCCTGGTTGTCCGACATTCATAACAACTTCGCCGACTTGTTTCGGACTTACACAACGCACTAGCTCACGTGATAGCCACTGGCCAATCACATCGATATTACCGAAACGGCATCTATACTGACCATCACTACTGTTCTCAAAATTGTGCCCAATTACGTTGATAACAGTGCCACCTATATCAGGTCCTGTTGACGGGGCAACAAGGAGAACTGTGGGAATAGCCAAACAGTAAGGCCCATAGAATGTTATATTGCAGTCACTGCAAAGCGCCCCGGCCCAATTCACTGACGAACATGTGCATTCACCTAAATTAAAAACATGTATGATGCATGACTGAAACGAACTGGCCTTTAATGACAGCAAAGTTTTCAAAATATTTCCAAACTGTTAAAATGATTTTGTATAGACGCAAGTTTAAACTACCTGATGTCTTATCACAGTATCCATTGACACATGGCGGACATGGCTCACAATTCTGACCCCAATACAACTCTTCGCATTGTGAGCAGTCAGTCCCAGCATACGAAGGAAAACATGAACACGTGTCTGGTTCCAAGCAAAACCCTCTGCCCGAACAGTTTTTGACATTGAAACAGGTTGCATCTGCACATGTTTTCCCTGTCCATTTCCCAATGCATTCGCAAATATTTGGTCCAACACATTTGCCATTCCCATTGCAGTTGGAGACCTTCAAATAAACAGACAACAAACATAATTAAATCAAACAATTAATGAACTACTGAAATATTTCGAAAGAACATAAATTAACTGCCGGTTAAAGTAAAATATCTGACTTAAACTACTTTATACCTGCATACAAGAGAGTTGATCACACGTTGCACCCTGCCATCCATTGTCACAACGACATCTATCAGGTCTTATACATTCCCCATGATTAGAACAATTATTTACTGCTAAGCATGTGAATTCTTTGCCTGCTAACATAGGAATGTAAACTACCTCTGCAGTATTTAATGCGTCTGTTTTATCGAATATGCGTTTATCCGCAAAGGCTTCTACTGCACTACCCCACCAGTTAAAAGTGGCATTAATGACATCATCACCATTCACATCAGCATATAGTTCGTAAACACTCGAGGGGTTTTCCAAAATGTTATAATGCATCATATAATTTGCCGATGTCGTACGTATGACACCCTTTGTTGCATAGTTATCAATGAAAATATTATCGTTCAATTTCACTGGATTCTTTGCTTTATCAGTAGGATTAATGTAAACCATTGTAAGACCATTATTGTTTGAAAACTGGTTACCAACAATCTGAACTTCATCATTTAACCATTGTTTTCCATAAGCAGAGTGCTTTGGGTGCAAATATATTAAATGCGACTTTTCATTATTATATTCTATTTTGTTATTTTGAATCAACAAAACAGTTCCAGGTTTAGGATGGATTTCCATTGCACTGTTACTATTATTGCGAAATATGTTTTTGTGGATATTGACCAACAATGTTAAATCGAGATAATGGTCTTCAGTAGTGACCCTTACTACAGGTCTCAGATTGTGCTCAAATAACGAGTTCGTAATTTCAATGGTTGCCCGAGAGTTCTCATTTATATAATGTCCAAAGTCGATATTTATCGCATATGTGTTTGGTTGATAACTGTTCACGAATGTACATTTTGTAAGGAACAGATATCTTGGATAGTTGATGTACAATCCGTCTTGATTATTGGAATTAAATGTTGTACCATTTATCAAAACAGATGCATTTCTTGCATTATATAATGCATAAATTCCATATTGATTACTTCGAGAGACAGTTCCATTAATGATAGACAATACAAGATCGTCTTCATCCAGATATATACCACTCATACCAGCCCTGTCTACAACACTCCCTGTCATATCGATATATCGTAAAGTCTGAGACTTTATATGTATGCCATTCTCCGTTGTCTGACTTATCCTACTATTGCGAAATGTCATGTATCTTCCAAAACTATTTTCTGCAAAGCGGAGCCCAGTACCAACGTTTTCAATATATACGTTATCAGCTTGAATAGGGACATCATATATCAACATGCCATATTTTGATCCAGTTATGTTGACATGACGGAGAACAGATGCTTTAGGATCTGTAATAAATTCATGTAGTACACTGGACAGATTCAAATATACCGGGATTGTCCTTTTGAAGAGATGGGTTTAGGCTATATAAACATACTTGTATTATCGAAATATTATACATATTACCGTGAGACATCTTCTGATACGCATTTTAGTTTGTTTTTAAGTTTGCTTTATCTCATCTTTTGCCTTTTTGTGGTTTCATTTATGGATGAAAACTTGCAATCAAAGCATTTGTGAAAATGCAGGAAAAAGATACCACTGGCAGAAATGTTACGGTCAAAATTAGAGGTAATCATGTTTACAATAAATACAAGTTGTTTCTGAGTGTCATGCCCAGGTAAAAACTCCGATTGATTTTGATACCGATTATTGGAAGACACGTGTCTGTATAGTGAGTCCGATAGTTGACTGGGTAAACTTTTGAGGATTTATTTTTGAAAATGGGGACAATTATCCCCTGTTACCAGCAATTTTGGAATTTCAGCATCAAGTGAGTCTGCAACTAGCTTAACCATTTTGTTTGTAATGTTATCATCTCCCCCCCCCCCTTATTTATAACTCAACTTATTGTTTTAAACTATTTTACTTTGTTCTTGACGTCTCGGGACACACCTCTCATCAATGTATTTATTGAAAGATGCCAAAGAAGCTATAAACAAGAAAGAGCAGACACAGATAAGAAACACAGTAATCACAAAAGCGCAGATACACAACCCGTAAGAACAATTGTGTTATTCGCTGTGAGTCTTATTGATTAATGAATCAATACATATCAGGAAAAATTAGATAGATTTAGGTAACTTCACACTCTCACATATAAATTACAATCATTGTAGATGTATATGATCAAATGGTTTAATGAACACAGCTTTTGTTTGTATCTTAAATAAATAAGTACCTAGCGTATGTATATAAATAAAAAATGTAAATCTATAACCAAAGGGAAAAGATCAAAGGTTGTAATGGAACCTAGCAAGAAAAAAGAAACTCTAAGACTATATATATCATCAAACCCCATATATCCCAAGATCATGATCTACATTGAGAAGAAGCGATGTCTAATGACCCCTTCCCACATCATTCCCCAACACAGCATTGATAAAAGCATCACACTAGAGTTCATGGAAGGAAACTCGAGTTATGTCGATGGAATTTAAAGATGTGTTTCGCCAAAAATGTCAAAATGTGTTCAGTTCACTTATCATAAAGCAATTTGTTAATGATGACCTATACGCATATGCATTTTTGATCAACCCGGGATAATAATAAAAGCGGGATACACATTTTTCAGACTCATATTGATTGTAAAATATCATTACCTTCACAATTTTGGCGTTCATAGAAATCCCATCCTTCGGTCTCATTATTCAACCTGCTAAGATCGAATTCATCTCTTGATTTGTCATTCAATTGACAGAGACCACTCGACTCCATATATTGAATTGATTTGCACCCATATGCTGCTGTCCTACAGCGGTGTATACAATGCCACCTATCCCAATCGGAATAACGCTCCCTGTTGTCCTTATTGATTTGAAATTTCTTAACCATCATAAAACGCGTACCATTTTTACAGCCTAAACAAAATATTTTTGTTGATCAAATAATCCATTTAGTCGTTTTAACTACCCTCATTAGTCGTTATAGTGATTAACATAATGTTAGACTCCGATGCCTTGAAAAATCGCTCTTCCTTTTCTATTATTTCATTTATATTTCATTATTAAGGATGGGTGCTAATTACGTACAGGGTGTCGCATAAGTGTCGCACCAACGCCCCCCTCCCTACAGCCAAAACCATGATATATGGTATCAAATGTGATGTATCATTGGAAATATCATCCAAATTTACGTTTGGCATATATTTGATGTCCGTCAATCAATGTCACAAGTTACTCCATTGTATAGAAACATGACAATTTGGCGTATTTGGCAGGATTTTAAGAATCAGGCTTCATAAAAATAAAAGGAACTTCTGGATAGGATTAGGTGTGAATAAAATAGAGGGACAGGAACAGAGGTGGAGATAGTTTACTTCAGAACACAATACATTTGTTGTTGAAGAAAACTGCTAGGACAAAGTAAAACAGTGATTCAGTACCCGGGAATCTGTGGTACGAAGTCCGGTCAGTTTTTATACAGACGGAGTTAGGAACTAGGGAAAGGATAGGAATTAGCAGGAACGTCCCACTCCCACACTTCAAACCAATGCCATAAATGGTTAAGGACACGCTTCTGCATTCAAGTCATCAGTATAAGTGTCTTAAACGAGCCGGCCAAAACTATTACTTAAATTTTTGTCAGCAAAATTGTCAGCAGCCACTGACATTTCTATTAGCTATTATCTAACATTAAATGTCAATACATGCAGACAATATGTGACATACATCTACAAAGTATGAAGACCACCGTAAATGTATCATGACTTGTTTCTTGCCCATGTGATAAACGCTTTGCGTTAAATTGATAGTAAGCGAATATTTCTGTTCATCTTTCAATGATTTTTGCAGTATGTATTGCCCGCAGTCCGTAGGACGAGAGAAATACATGCTGCACAACTATTGAAAGTGCTACAGGTATTGCCCGAACATAGCATGAAAAGTTTGTTTTGTTATATTATCATTATCATTGCTAGACATTCTCTACGGTCACTTTGGATTTCAAAGATTCATAGAATTTTTGACTTAACCGGTGAACATTTATCGTAATCAATAATTCTAATAAGAATATAATATGATTCATTTGAACTGATGCAATAATAGGGCTAAACGTACATCCAACAATAAAAAATTGCGATAAAATATTTGAAAGAAAAGTAAAGAAAACAAGAGTACGTTCTTCAAATGACATATTTACTAGAGTTATTTTTTTGAAAGAAGGATCCTATCTCAGGCAATCATTAGATTATGTACCATATCAGCTGTTTCTTTTAATATAATCCCCTCACTCGTCAAAGGAAAAATTGTCTTATGATGATCACTCAATTTTAATTTTTATTGCACAGGTTTTCAAGTTTTCCAATGTTAGGTTGTCTGATATTTTCTAATTGCTTACATTTAAATAAAAAAGTGTTACATCTTCAAGGACTTTGCGGCTTTGCGAACGGATGTTGACCCTTTCAATTGCCTGTGGACTTCGAGACTGGATTCTATATATCCCACATCATTTGAGACTGAATACTCTATCTTTTATGATTACTAGTATCTACAACTATTTTTGATGTTATGAGTATTGGCTATCAACTTTTTAAATTTTTCTTCAACATGTATTGTAATGACTTCAGTAAAAATAAAATGTTGGTGTTCTGGTCCTGGATTGTGATATTAGAATTTAGCTCATTGTGACAACTTTTGATGGTTGAAGTTTATTAATGTCTCCCACTTTAGTATATTTCTGAGTTGTCTGTGTCACGGTACAGAAAGTCAGGATAATGATTAACAGCATTGCTTAGTATTTGATTTCGATTGGCTAAGCTTGAGGACTTTTAAATTTGAAAAATGTAATTACTGTTTTTAAATGTCTTATCACAACCGAAAAAATTGATGAAGTTAAAATATAACTACAGAATATGAACATCAAAACATTGAAAGATACACATAACAAAATTGGAAGCAATACATTCTCAATCGATATGAAATTTTAGAAAATTGACCAGCTTTGTGAAAATATCAAAAATCCAGTTATTTTGGCTGTCGATTAGTCTGCCTCCTGTTTATACCCATTACCCTCTTAAAGTCAAATGTTTTACTCATAATTAATGATTCCTTGAGTAAACTTCCGTCTGTACTCGACTCTAAATGTCCGACTCTAAATGTATTTTATTCGCCTTTTTACAATGTATATTGCCAAAGGTGTTTTACCCAATTCTCCTCTTACTATCATATTGGTGGATTTTCTATGGATCCGAGAACATATTTTTGGAACCAAATATAATTGTTTTCGATTAACATGCTTTCGTACTTCTGTTCAATATCTCAATCAGTTATGTAGTCACGCATTACACCATGGCAAGGTTAAGATTAGCAAACCATAAGATAAGGATTGAAACAGGGTGATACGAGAGAAAAAATTGAACTAAACAGAACCGATTTGAAGTAAAATACAGAATTTGTCAAATTTGCAATAAGGGGGAAGTAGAAGATGAAAATCATTTTCTTATTTTATGCGATGGTTATAAAGATTGCAAATATGAATTTTGTAACAATCTAAGTTTTATTGATTCATTTTGAAATATGTCCGGTGAAGAAAAATTTAAGTTTTTAATCATTTCAGATGATTATGAAATTGTAAACAAATTGATACATTTTATAAATAAACTTTTCAATCAACTAGTTTGTAAGATAAATAATTTTAAATATTTGTTTAACAATGCATTTTACTGTATAACTGAGTAATTATGTTTTGTAATTGATTTTGTGAGGAAGTCAATTGTTTTGGCTTGAAACACAATTAAATCTTGAATCTTACAATAATGCTACAATATTCCTATAATGCCACCATGCCGCAATCATATAATGCAGTCGGAATCCATACGATCATTGAACGTTCATAAAATCTAGTCTCAAAAAGCACATGAGGGCACGGTGGCTTAGCTGGATCTAGAAACTACTTTCCATTGGTAAGTTATCACAGCACCTAATAAACATTGCAATATACCAATGTTGTGACTGGTAGAACTCGATTCATGAACAAATTAACAGGCTACAATTTTTTCGAAACCTCAGATAAATGGCTCCAACTTGTTCATAAATTTATGAACAATCAAGACGAATTACAAGAAGTTCCATAAACGAAACATTTAGTAGGAAGAATAAAAAAGATAGTTGAGGATTTAAGCTCAGCCCGTGTATAGTAATATCATTCGTTTGTAATTACCTTCTGCCGTTGGCCTCTGAAAAATAATTCCTTTCCACTCAGCGCTTGTGTCTATTCCCGAAAGAATTACCTTGCTGTTGGCACTACCATCAACAATAAGGCGACCTTTAATGAAAAATATTGTGTTACAACTGAGCGACGTAGTAATATTTTTAAGTGTCGATTTTGTAATAGATTAATTATTGTATTGTATTGTTTGTTTATTTAAGTATGATGGGCAAACCCAGACACGTTAACGGTCTGTAAGACACTGTAGATTAATATACAATAAATCATATACAGTGACAGTCGGAGTGTTAAATGGATACCCTGTAGATTTTTGGAAGGGTCAAGATTGCAGTAAAAAAATCCCATTGACGACCATTATAACATTTCATTTCATAATATATTCATGGGCACAGATCTAGCTCAGCGAAACAGTGCCCAGTGTTCATTGGAGTCTTGTCTAGCTTGCCGTTACAAATAAGCATACGGTGATCACACCGTTTTTGAGATAACTGAATCTGGAGAGAGCTACCACTGTAAAGCTACCTGTTTCAGAAAATTATTCTGCTCTACATAGTCTCAAAAATCACTCCGCCATCTCTAAAAATTCTATTTCTAACCAGACTTGTAAATGTTTCCTGATATATTAGTACTTACCCTATCGAGAATAAACCTTGATTCATTTATCAAACACTAGATGAAGCTGCGACGGGACAGAAAAGGAGAAAAAGCTTTTTTATACAGAAAACCAAATAACCAATCTGGACTATATTCGAAAGATAAGCATATGTTCTCCTTTTCTGTAGAATTACCTTCAACTATGATTCCCTGAGTTCCCAAAAACTTCATGTGCACACCCGCCTTCAACATCAGCACAGCACCATCTCTTCAAAGTTCAAAGATGAATATAAATATAAACATTTGCTTGTTGGGTCACCTAGGTAAGGTAATCAACTATAAGTAAGACAGCTCAATTATTCTCATAGCTAGAGGTCGTTGTGTAGAAATGTTTGGACGGCCCTTGTACTTATTAGCTATGGAAAATGATTAGCTGCAGGATTTATTATAAATCTATATGAATTCCAAGTTATTGTAGTGAAAATTGTTTACAGCACTTTGTGATTACACTTACCGGATATAAATGGACCGTTTCACGTAATAGGGCTCAGATCTCGGTTCAACTACTAAATTCTGAAACACATCACCTCCAAACATCGAAGACAGCAAAAAATCGACATCGTCATGATCATTGAATTTAGTAAATTGTCGATTCGTTGCATATGGATGAATGAATACCCGATTAAGATTAATGTTTCTGTGATGACAATACAGTGAATTCTGTACTTCACTGTGATTTCTTGGTCCCCAGTAATTCTGTTCAAAATGAAACCCTGTTAATGGCTTTCTCGTGGATGACCTTACTTCGTAAACCGCCAGGGGATTGTTGAATATATTATGGTGTGCTTCTACGCCGTAAACCTTTTGACTTAGATCCATAGATGTTGCAACAGTGTTATTTTCAAATACATTGTTCTCCAGCCTTAATATCATATTTCGAGCAGGGTTGTACCAATTATTAAATGGGGCAAATTTTAGAAGACTTGGTGCAGTGTTGTTAAGAACAATATTTCTCTTAAAGTCAAAGTTAAATGAACCGCCTTCGTAAAAGCTTCCATCAAACAAATAGCCACCACTTTTTCCCGATGCTACAGTATTTGCACCATTCCCTTCAATGTGATTATCAAGAAATGTTACTTCAGCATTGTTTCCAATATATTCCATGAACAATACGTCGCCAATGTTTTCAAACAGTGTGTTATTGCTCAATATGACAACAGGTTCACTCATGTAGCCAGTACGGCCATAATAATGTATCATCCTTCCTCCGATATTTTGAATGAATCTGTTGTTCAGAAAAAACATGCCATTGTATTTTTGTCCATTTGGGCTGAAGTACAATGTGCTGTTTGAGATATCCGACGGAATACCATTGTTAGCAATATCGCAATCTATTATAGTGCAGTTAAACTCCGAGTCTGATGCAGGTTTGGAGTATAGGACTCCATGTGTGTTTCTTGATATCTCTGTAGTCTCAATGTATAATGATGATGTTGACAGAGAAGAATATACTGCACCATATGTGTTGTCTGTCAACACACTGTTAATAACCGATATGTTCTGATATAAGCCTGTATAATATAGCCCAAATTCCTGATTTCGAGTGGACTCTATATTAACAAATTCAATATTGGACATTCTGTAAGATTTCTCGTTCCAGACCAATCCATTGCCATAATTTCCAGATGTTTTGACATTTTCTAACAAAACATTTGAGACGTTTCCTATAACATAAGGTTCATCAAAGGTGATTCCATTCTGACTGGAACCAGATGATTCTATATCATGAAATACGGAAGGCATAATTCCTGTAATGTGAAGTCCAAGAGTTGTATTAACTAGGTACACGTGTATAAACGTAGACACTTGATTACTACTTGGTGTAGTTATTAACCCACTACACGTGATGCCAACATCTTCATTATGACCGCAGTTATGGGTTCCCCAACCGATGTGTTTACATTTAAATAAGGTTGTCTCGCTTCCGTCACATGCCATGTCATCTAACCATATAGGACCTGTACCACCACCAACTGTTCTATAAGTAGCTCCCACAGACATCATGCCTATAAGGATTAACGGTTATACTGTGTACTTGCCCATTTCCTTCACAAAATACTTTTTAGTATATGTATAGTATTTTACACCTGAAATTAAATAATTTCAAATTCTATAAAAAGAGCCATATACCTAGATGCCTACAGGCAACGTTAGCATCGTTCTTATCGAATCCATCGTCGCATACAGATCCCCACCGACCATTATAAAATACCTCGAGTCTTCCCGATGTAGAACCGCCGACCAATCGAAGTTTCCCTCCTTCATTTGCAACTACCTCTTCAATTAAATGATCTACATGTTAGATGCTATACGGTATTTCTGGAATATTGTGCTATTTACTTTGATTTCAAAACATCAATACATACCAGTCGTGATACTTATACCAGCCCACTTTACGGGAGGTACACGAGGGATGCATTGGATTTGTTTTCCCGCCGTTCCATTCATATGGATTTCACCTTAATACAGAAAACATTAATTTAGAGTAGGATATTTTCAAAACTTGTAGTGATATGATTTGTACGGTAACAAAATTATTCACCAAATAAACACTTTTTGATAAACAAAAACTGTTGATATGGTCAACTTTGATGTTCTCAGTTTTTATAATAAAGAACTATGATATCACAATATGTATACAGGGTTTCCCGAAAGTATGCCCACCCCTCCCCTAGGCAGACACATACAAATGTCTCCATAGTATGTGTCATATATAACTTTAAAGCTTGTCCGAAGTTACATTGATTTGCCAAGAGCATGGTTCAATTCACAAATGGTAAATTCTAGAATGCCTTAAAAAAGGTTTTATTAGGATTAAAAAATGCCACATCCCTATTTGAAGCGCGTTTATGGTTATATATGGAAAGCACTGCTGCTGCTAACATGCCCTGGGGAGACACACCCACTATTATTTTGTTGTAAAACTTACTTTAATTTTGGCCAAACACAAAATTCTAAAATGTCTGTAACGTTTTCCCATTTGTGAGTTGAACCATGATACTTGGCAAATCATTGTAACTTTGGAATGGGTTTTAAAATGATATATGACACATACTATGGATACATTGGTATATGTCTGCCTAGGGGGGATACTTTCGGGACACCCTGTAGTATAACTGAGAGGATATCCAACCGAGAATCTCAGTCAGCTGATGTCTGCAGTGAATGCCTCCCAAGTCACACACTTCAAAGATGCCTTCAGGAATGTGTTCTATTGGTGGGGCGTCAGGCAGTAACTGTGCATTGGTGCTGAGGGTGTCTTCTTTGAGCACCTCATAAGTTAGGCCCATAGGCAGCTTTTGCCAATGCGGGCATGTTTCAAAAAATTCAAGGGGGATCTTGTTTCACAACTTTGAACCAAAATCACATTAAAAAGTGCCCCCCCCCCTCCCTTGGATACAGGCCTGTAAAGTGGAGATGGATCAAGAAATGATTCTTGGAATGGATTATTTCTTACTGTATTGCATATCAAAAGAGTGAAACAGTAATATGTGATACTTGCTTACAACACTTAAACTTTTGTCCAAAAGTGACATTAGAAGTCAACCCCCCCCCCCCCCCCCCAACAATAACTTTGTCAATATAATAATGTCAGATATATGTTTCTTATGTTGTGAAAGTTTCATGAAGAAAAAAAAGTTATAGCAAAATAAGCAGTACTTATTGAACACATTCAAAATAGCTAGCCCACCTTTTACTCGAATGCCAATGTTCTCGGCAAATTTGAGCACAACACATGGTTCAATAAGCAAAGAAGCCTCCTCCATAACTACAATGTCTGACACGACATCATATGGACTATCGTCACATCTGAGTGTCACGTTTCCCGTAATCTCCCCACCAATACTACCATCTTGTCGAAAGAAGTCTTCTTCGATTGACACGTCTGAGTAATTATGAGAAAGCAGAAACGGAAAAATGTCTAATGCACCAACGGATGGGTCCTTTCTGTTGTCATATATGCTGGCCTTTATTTGTGACTCCTCTTTACTACCCCACCAGTTAAACTTGCCATTTATATCAATGCTGGCTTTTGGAGAATCTACCTATACACATATACACGTTTACGATTAATAGCCTGAAAGCAGCTTTAGCATATTAAATATAGCAAAAGGAATCTCGAATTAAACGTATATAAACATTATAAAGTGTAATTTACAATAAAGTAATATAATTTACCCTCAAATTGTAATTATTTTCCCCTTGGGCATTATCAAACAAGTTGTAGTTTATCAATGTACCCGACTGAACTCTTTGAAGAGTCATGGCGTTGTTGCTGTTATTCAAGAAGGCATTGTAGCTGATAGTGCAGTTGTTTCTTGTACTTGGATTAATTATGACATTGTTGCTTCCAAAGTTAGAGATGAATCGATTATTCATGATTTTTGTGCCACTTGTGAGGTCAGATGTCAGGGATAAAGCTCCGTTACTTTCCGAGATTATGTTACTAATGATATCAACGGTTCCAATTCCGGCTTTCAATCCAAAGACACACGCTACACGACTCATTCCATGTATAATGTTTTTTTCTATCACAATTGAAGAGAAATAGTTGATATTCGATAGTATCATAGCAGATGTGCCCTTCGAACTTGTTGACAGAAATAAGTTGTTAACAATTGCTATGAAGGAAGTCTCCTTAAAACCGGAACTTGAAGCCATTTATATTAACCATCCCGTAATTGTAGTATGAATTGTGATCAATAAATGTATTATTGCGTATTGAAATAGTTCTTGATCTGTGATTGCTCCAAGCGTTGTTGTTGTAGTACACACCGTAACCATATTGGTTGACCGTTCTCTTGATGATGCAGTTTCCAAGTTCAAATATACCATCTCGTATGTAGGCATAGATTGCATAAGATTGATATTCCAAAATATGACAACCTCGAAGCTTGATATCTGTTTGACCACTGTAGTAAATGTAAACACCGTGATTGCTTATATCTTGTATTGTTACATTTTCAAATACCAAATCTGCTTTGGTACTCCCTCCATTGATATACACAGCTCCACTACCACGTGTGTTACGGATGTCGACGTCCTTCGTTGTTAAATTTAATCCTCTCATAGTCATCGGTGACGTCTGAATGGAGATCCCAGTGTTAGTAGATGTGTCTATCGTACTGTTAGTAATATCAATATTGAGGTATTCGGTAATGGTATCCGATACATATATGGCATAGTCTGTGTTTGTGATTGTGACACCATTTAGAGTAATGTTCCTGCCTTGGCCGTGAACACCATACGTGGAACCGTCTAATCGGACATAATTGAGAAAGAAACCTGCAAATAAGACAATATGCAAGTGACAGTGGTTGTCAGATTTGTTTGTTTAAAATGAAAAACTAAAACTAAACTGAGGTAGCACTGTAGCTTACCGACAGACGACGGTGATCCAATGCGAATTCCTCCCCATTTCCTCGTCGGATTCTTTCTTTTCATCAATGTTTTATCATAGTTAATCTCCCTGATGACCAGTTCACCTACATACATATAAATAGTATTTGTGTTGTTCCTAGGTCACATTTAGTCCGATTTTCGATCCAGCGCCCAGTCGATGAGTACATAAACATAAACATAAATGAATCCGAAAAGACGACAGCTTTGGCATCGTCTGATAGTGTCGCGATGCCCATACGATAGTCTTACTGCGTCCAAAGAATATCCAACATATGTTTGACGAGTTCCTCCGTCAAATTATTCGCATATATCAAACAGTACCCGTACCTAATGTGACCATACTCACGTCCCCATCGTCCTGGACATCGAGAAATCGGCTCATTCCTATAACCGGCCGACACCCGGCGCAAATGTGACCTAGACCCTACTCTCTAAATCTACCATTTAGCAATTTTGCAAAACAAGATTGATTTATGTTGCATACAAATAATATTTATTATATTCATTTAGTTTACATGTTGATTTTCAAAGATGACGGATGGTTGAGGGAATGGGCAGTAATAATTATAATTATAAATATATATGTTAAATAATAAATTTAGACGTTGATGTACATTTACACTGAATAAAATAATTGGTGGTAAAGAACCTTGAGAATGTATTGATGTACGTTAAATGAAGAAAGGAACGATTTTTTTTATTATTATTATTTTCCAAAATCAAAACATATTTACATATACATTTAATCAAGAATACAAACGTTAAATAAAGTGTGATAATATAAAATATAAGGCTACAGTAAGTACATAAAATAAACTTATAAAGACGTGAAAAAGAAACGCAGAATAGAGTAGATGTAGATCATAGTATATGTAGATATATTTACACATCTTTACAGACAAGAAAGGAACGACGATGATATCATTTTATATACCATTTGAATATAGAAAATGCCTATTAAAGACTATTATAAATATGAAACATGAATCTAGACAGGTATAGTAAAATTAAGAATCACTTACCACTTATATGAATTCCAATCCCTTGTCCAAAAGCCAGTTTAACCCCAGACTCTATAGTGAGGGTAGCATTCGGAAGTATAAAGATGTTGCGTCTAACATGATAGGTATAGTTCAAAATAAATCGAATCGTTTCATTTTTCAAGAGCACACCGCCAATGGCACCTGTAGTATCAGTAAAGTAGATATCCACTTTTTTATCTTCATTCAGTACAGTAAGGTTGCTATCAGTGTAAAAAGGTGACACGGTGACATGTGCAAGATTCATATCCCTATTGTTTCCACATACTCTATGTTTCACATCACCTGGATCAGACGAGCCCCAATATGAGAACGGGACATTAATGACTAAATCTTTTTTAGATACAGAAACATAAAATGCACACTGATCAACGCTTTTGAATTGTTCAAAAGAATTTTCTGCCATCTTGAAATTCTCCGTGTCTATCCATAACCAAGTGGATGCAGCAATGTTTGTGAATTTGTTTCTAAAAATATGGAATCTTCCATTAGTATTCGAACTAGCCAATTGAACATCTATGTACCGACCATCAGCTCTGTTGCTTGTCATTATATTGTTTTCTATAGATACGTTTGTCTTGTAGTAGGCCTTAACCATCATTGATTTGTAGCAGTTGCTGAAGACATTGTTTGTTATTGAAATATTTAATTCAGACTGTTTATAGTTATTCTCTATTTGCAACGCGGGATAGGAGGTTGACATATCCCTGAAAATGTTTCTTTCAATGCGTATTTTTTCTCCATCAAAATAGTATGGATACAAATATATAGCACAGTATTGCCGACTGTTTCCTTCTCCAACAAAAGAGTTATTAATCAATAAAAGACGCCCACCTCTGTAAATGTTATCTGAGTTGTAATACAAAGTGTGATAATAGTTATCTGTCATTTTTGTTGATTCGATAGTGGTACTCCCATCTATTCTGTATAAATAGATGCCATGATTTCTATTACTCAGGATTTCTGACTTATGAATATTGATACTTCCTACAGTTTGATGCGTTTCTAAACCCCTTTGAGCATTGTGTGACAATTCTGAGTTCTCGATGGAGATATTTGCGTGTGTGTCTCTGCAATATATACCAGAGCTTTTGCTGCCCGTTATAACCGTCCGGGTGATAGACAGGAACGGGTAAGTGGCGCTACCCTTGAATTCAATACCATGTTTTCCATTGTGCCCTATGTAGGAATCAGATATCATTGTAGAGTTTGCGGATGATTCTCCGTCGGTGTACTTGATCCCAGCTGCGCAGTGTGTGATGGTCACGTGATCTAGAGTGACAGAGTAGCCTGTTGCTTGGATACCTACGCGTGCCCCTTTTACATAAGCATGTTGCAGTGAGGAATCTAGAGACAGAAATTTAGGGTATAGAAAAATATTAAATGCATGCGTGTAATATTTTGTACATTGATGCATATATTTCAATTTCATGTGATGGAAATTACATAAGATAAACGATTATTTTAGAAAATACGGATTCTCAATAGCCAAAGACATTTTCCAGAAACAAAACAAATGAAAACTTACGACCAGACACAAAATTTAGCCCAGACCAAAAAGAGGAAATTTCAGAGACGGCATCGTCTGGTGTGAACTCAACAGCAAGATTACCAACCCCTTGCGCTAAAAGATTACCTAAAACATACATTGTATTTTAGCAGGGTATATTCTGGATTAGAACATTTACATCACAGGCACTATACTCAGCATTGTAAAATTCAAACAATACAGAAATGTCAAAGATGAATCATGCATACCATGGATTTCAAAACCAGCTTCAGCTGTTGCAAATATTATTTTGACGCCTGGTTGGATGGTAAGAGTCCCCTCTGGTCTAATGGCAACTAGTCTTGACACAATATACGGACTGAGATGTAAGAATAGGACTTCCTCATCCTATAAATTGCAAGTCCATATATAGGCATATTGTTAATATTATTTTGACGCCTGGTTTGATGGTGAGAGTCCCATCTGGTCTAATGGCAACTAGTCTTGACACAATATACGGACTGAGATGTAAGAATAGGACTTCCTCATCCTATAAATTGCAAGTCCATATATAGGCATATTGTTAATATTATTTTGACGCCTGGTTGGATGGTGAGAGTCCCATCTGGTCTAATGGCAACTAGTCTTGACACAATATACGGACTGAGATGTAAGAATAAGACTTCCGCATCCTATAAATTACAAGTACATATATAGGCATATTGAACCAAGAACGATTCTCAGAGAAACGAACAAGACAGTTCATATTTGTCTAAAGCATAAAACAAGACATTTAATGATATCTAGATGTACTGAGTGAAGTGGTCATGCAGAGTCACAAAAAAGCCCAATCTACCCCAGGACTTATTCAAGTGGTTTCATGTGAAAAATCTGACCCTCCATAGGGATATCATTATGTTGATGTATTATGCAAAAAATAATAAATAAATGTCTTCGTTGCAAGTAAAATATATCTTCGTTCCATTGCTACAAAACTGCTTTTGTATAATATCAAGGTAATCATTTCATCTATGTCTAAAATGTAATCATATTTCACAGCCGGAGCCAACGCCCTACATACGGGCCAAATAGTAAGTTAAAATGTGAAGGATAACTGTGACAAAATCAGGAGAACAAAGATACTTATCAAATTCTTCTACCGGAACTCCGGCAATGGTGAAACGAAGACATCAGTTGATCCCATTGGCATATGCGAATACAAAAACCACATTGGCAAGATTATCTTTGCCACTTCAATAACCTAGATGCGAGTAGGTAGTTACCAGTTCTTACCAGTTATCAGTTAATCAGTTCATCACTAGGTGGCTAATTCGGGTCAGATGACTTCTGTATATTCTATTAGAAACTTCCCTTAAACTTGAATATTCATCAGTTCTAGTGATTCAATTTTTATATTACCCTTATGCATCTGATTGTGTGATACAAAGTAAGGTATGACTAGTAAAAGAAAATATTATAGTGTCCAATACTATACGAATACTGGATGGTCAAAAGCTGGATTTGGCAGAATACATGTACCTATTCGAGAAACAAATATTTGGCGAGGCGCAAGCGGAGCCCAACATATTTTTAAGGATAGGTATCTAGCTATATCCAGCTCCTGATGATCCAGTATTTGTTTTATTATGTACCTTCTCAATCAATATTATGTGTGTGCTACGATACTTACATTTTTACAACTTTTGATTTTTTCTGAAAACTCAACGACTTCCGTATAGCTATACACCAAACGAAAAATCGTTGACTTGTCCCGGGATTTAATTTACATTTATTTGAGGCGTTCTTGCAGAATTATGCGTAATGTTTGAATGATAAGGGTATGTGATTAGTTAAGACCACTTTTGTTCTGACTAAAAGTTAAGATTTATTGAAAAATGCACACAACAATCAGCTTAATGTTCAATTGAAGTTTTTGTTGATTGAATGGAGGAAACTGGGAACGATATAGATCTTGCAAGATGTGCAAAAATGTGAAATGACTACAAAATAATGATAATTTTTTGAAGTGAGAAATGACAAAACAGGGACCACTGCAGTGCCATCCACGATGTCCAATACTCTGGTCTTTTCCGAAAACTGCCGGATATCTTTTGTTGATAGCTGACCCTTTTGTGAAAATAATGGTCAGAAGACTATCTACTATATTTGTTGAAGAATCCCACTTAAGAATTTCATTTCACTATAACTTGAGTATCGATTTAAAGGAATACATGCCTAATAGTCCATGGTATTACTTCCGAATATGAAGGATCCGTAGCACACTATAGCGCAGCAACATTTGAAGCAATATTTAAGGAGGTGCATTATTTTGATCATGATACTTATAAACTACCTGAAAAAACGTCCGGCTTTCGGATCGAAAAATGTCTTTCATCACAAGGGGTCAAAAAACGTAAATATTATAAAATCGTTTTTGATAGCGTTAAAGGTAATTTTTAACAGCGTATGAAATCGTTTTTCGACGGCGTACAAAATCGTTTTTGAAAACTTTAACGGCGTTAAAAGTATGACGATACATCGGTCCAGACGGCCAGCCATAAGTACATGTACTTTTACATGTAATAATATAACTAAATAACATACTGTTCTTGTTGAATACGGGAAGACCCGATGATGAAGATGAGTATGCTATATCTTCACGTTTCACAGCCCTTCCAAGTGGTAAACTACAGCCTGAAATAGATAAAAGCAACACGTAGGAGTATATCATAGACCATGCAAACAAGGGTCTCAAATATAGTATTTGATTGCGTTTTTTAAAAAACACAAAGGCAACGACTCGGACAGAGGTTTAACGCCGGAAAAAGGATCTGAGATCACAACTATCAAATTTATTCTTCGAAATAACACATATTTTTTTACTTTGGAGTAAAGATAGGGTAGCAATTATATATGCAAAAATATTTGGAATTGGATGATATTTTATTTGATACATTTTTGATTTACTTAGTTTTAAACAATAATGTGTATTTGATTTTGATCTGCGTGTCTTTATTTGTTCTGCTCATCGTGTACTTCTCAATTTTCTAAGCGGAGATTTGTTGTTAAATTTCTCCATCACGTTTATTAACTTACTGTCATCGGGTGTGAACTGCCAAGTCCCGTTGACACCGTCTAGAGTACTGACTGCAACAGACGTGATGTAATCAGGACTATTGTCGTCCCATTCTACAAGGGGGTTGATTCCAAAGTTACTACCTTTTCCGAGAGCAATGTTTCCTATCAAATGAAAAGACATTGTGAAGTTGTAGGAGTAGGCATCAACGAAAGCAATGAGCTATTTAAATCATAACCAAAAATCACTCTTATACAACACAGAGGTAATCCAAAAAGGTAAAACTTTAATCTTAAAGTATTTTTTAATTTGATACAAAAAAGTACTCAGTTAAAGACCTATCTTCTAACTTATGTATGTACGTAAAAGGTAGTCTATAGTGCTGATATATAATAATAAAGGGTGCGTAAACAGAGTGCTCTTACCAAAATAAATTTGCCTACATACCCCTGAGACTCTTATCTGATAGATAGAATGCACAAATAAAACAAATGTTTTGCTATTATAGGTAAAAAGTTCTCTTGAAATTTCGTGATTTTACCTGTTAATTCTGTCCATGGTCCGCCATTTTTGCAGAATTTACACTGAAATGCAAACTCCATGAAACGAAACGAAATCACTAGGAAAAACATGGCACACATTGTACGCATGTGCAGCAAAGTTTAAACCAATCAGATTATTTGATTATTTTGCGCACATGAATTATTTGCTTCTGAGCACTTCCAAAAAACAAACCTGGCAGAGACTACCCTTAGCCTACTTCACTTTGGCGAAATTTCCGAGCTCAAACTCGTGACAAATGCACTATGCATACGCTGGTGTGAAGCCTTGGAGACACTCATTTTGGTAAATATGATTTATGGTGTATACTTTTCTGCAGTTTGTGGGAGTTTGGGAATTAAATGTTAAAATTCAAGAAAATATGCCAACTAAACGACTAATCAATTAATATATACCAGCACTATACACAATAGATTTCTCCCCGGACAATCAGTGATATCCCATTATAATTGCTTAATATATAATATCTTACGAACGTTAGATATATCTTGAGACCAACTTATGGTTTAGTATTGCCGATATATTGAGAAAATCAACAGAACAACCAACTGTCAGAATTGAACACGATCGAGTTAGATCGCGGCAATAGAGGGAAAACCTTTTCAAATGACAGGAGCACACGAGAGCATCGGCAAACTAGGCACGTGCCTTGACAGCCAATCAGATTCAAAGCAGGTTTTTAATTTCTTCTCGAGAACTGCCATTTACGGAGTTGCTTTAGTTACGCAACCAAATTTATAGAAGAATTAAACGACCAATCAGATATATATATGGATTTCCTAAACTAAAATAATTCGACCGGTCAGCAAAATCGCAAAATTAGCACAGAAAGCGTTGAATTTGGAGATTATTTTTCAGTAAGTGGAAAGGTGAATATGTGATGCTGCTCAACATGCAAAACGGTCCAAGGGGGTTTTGATTGTGCTTTCCTATCGCTTCATTCGTCTATAACTTTGCTGTATCTAAAACTAGAGAAAAAGCATAAAAGAATTGATCGCTTCAAATCACCTTTTGTCCAGCCAAGCCACAGCGTAACAAACTCATTACAATTTAGAAGACCCTCAGTAGGTGACTCAGCCTGGGGACATCCTCTTTTGCAGGTTCGTATCACAGACTTTGTGTTAGAATATCCTGATATCAAGATCTCGTACATTCGAGAGTTGGTTTCACCAAAAATGGCCGACAGCGCTACGTAAGCTGATGTGCATGCCTTTACTCGCAACGTAAGTCCAAGCTTTCCAGTTAGATCAATTTGTTCAATAGGGACGTAGTTTGCGTCTTTTGTCAAAATGGTCAGTGTCTCTGCGGATACAATATGTTCAAATTATTCTTAATCCACAGGACGGCATAAAAAACGGTTAATCAAAATATTTAGACACTATTCACAATATTAGCAAACATATAGCATACTTACCCGGTTGGCCAGTGACCGTGCATCGGTGGCAAACTTGCCAGGACAGCAAAAGCACAAGTAAAATCGAACAGCATTCTGCCGACATTGTGCATTTGAGTATGCCTTGACTACAGCTAAAGCATTAAAACATAACACAATAAAATACAGCCTAGTTGATTTCAATACCTTTTAATTTATTTTCATATGACATTGTAAAGAATCACTTGAACTGCATTCTTAAAACTAGAGGCAAAATGGTACTATGTCATCACTTGTCAAATAACTCTATCCATTTATACGGAGCTATCACCAAAGATGCGTATTTGACCTGTTCGTGGGCTAGTGCATTGCATAATATATAATAAGTATTTCCCTAGGTATCACCACGAAAAATAACAATAAGCCCGTGCGTTGCAAATAACATGCTCACACGCTGTTCATCCAAGCGCACTCTAACCGCTTATTACAACGCTAGCTATTGCAACCTTGTCGGCTACCGTCATGTCTTTTTAAAAAAAGAGTGTTAGTGTACTAGAATGAGCTATTTTTGTTGACAACACATGATCATTGATTGAGCACTGCAGGGCTTATTGTTTTTTTAATGATACCTGGGGCGAAACATCATTAAAACATTTCGCAATTCAATACCACGTTGGTGATACAACAATTCAGTGTTAGCCTATAAAACGTTATATAAGTAAATAAATAACTATTGGTAGGGAGTCATTGTGATATTTGACATGAATTCATATTACTATCTAATCCACCTAATAAACAAGGAATTTGGAGGAGAAAACGATTCATTTTTGGTGAAAAGAACATTTGAATTGATCGAGGAACTATACGCATAGGTACATGTTTTTGCAAAACGGCAAACTTCAATTCACTTTAGACATAAGTTAATTGCCTTTACATATGAGCGAAATCTCTCTGTCTATCAATGATTCTATCGATTTCTTAACTATTTGTTCGCAAACGTTTGGATTTTCTTGAATATATGATGCTGACACACCTTTGTGATAAAATATGTTGTGCAAATTTTGCCTATAGCTCGTGAAATGAGGAAAAAAGAAACTAGTAACTTCGAGGTTCCGCTTTTATTACCCGTTTCGGTAACTAGTTGAAGAGTGCAGTACTTTTGACTTATCATATCCTGTAAAAAGTCGAAATAGCACTACTTTGATTTTAATAATTTTTGCCTGAATCGCATGGCTTTTAATAATCACTTTTTAAAAAGTAAATTTGCTTACCCTTTTGAGCGTTTCTAAGTTTAGAATTGTGATGTCGAGTCTCTCGTCTCAAAATGAATTGTAGTATTCACGGAATTCGACTGAATATTCAATTTATACATAAAAAGGTTCAGGGATAACTCTAAATGACATGCACTCATGTCGTGAATGTTAGCTTTCTGGCCTTTCAATTTTATTGTTTGATGGTGGTTCTCTAGCTATAAACTGTATTAATTGCACTGCATATCACGTTTTATTTATACAGACAATTTTGTATTGAAATTAAGTCATTTATGTCTTCATCATATCAGACAAAACAATTAAACATACAGTGTGATCAATAAATAAGGTAAAAGTATCTGGCATTTCTTCAGATTTTACCCAATCCTCATAAAATTTGCACAGAATATTGTTCAAACATTATTGAATTGAAATTTTAAGTAACATATCAAAGTGATGTGATTGGTTGAAGTTATGGTTGCCATAGCAACAGAAGGCATGCAGACCCGGGGCAACTATCAAAGAATTGAATTTTCAGTCGAAGCGCTATTGATATATTTCAAATCACAATTGAAATGGCATATCATATTTTTATTTTATACTTCATAACTACTCTACCTAATGTCCTTTATTTTTAACATGTAGTCCGTGTCTTCTATTCCAGTCTTTGAACACCTTTTTAAACCCGTAAGGGTTTTCCCATAGCCTGTTGCAAATTTTTGAGATAGCTGACTTCAAGTCTTCCCATGAGAAACTCCCTCAACCCCCTCTTCAGGTCACCATGAAGGTAAAATCATTAGGGGACAAGTCAGGAGAGTATAGAACATGACCTAACAGTGGGAAACCCAGTGCTTCAATGGCTTGTACTGTGAGAATAGCATTGTGAGATGGAGCATTATCCGAATGCAATGTGAAACGTTTTACGGGCCTCTTCTTCCTCTTTGCTCTCATCAAATCTCTTCTGTATTGTTTTTCATCATTGACCTTTGTCATAGACTTTCTATGATCACATCAGTTTTCATTATATATTTTTCTCATATGACTATCAAAGATACAGCCATCTTTACCCCATGCAAGATATTGCCATCTTTCATCCTAAAAAGTCACACGTGCAAGATGAGATTTACTTGTGACATCATACATCAACAACATGGCAACAGATACACCGTTGTTATGAGTTTCCATGCTCATTCTACAAAACCAAGCTGTGATGTCATAACAATTGAACTTTGTTGTCATGCGTATCCATGTATTTTCTACAATATTGTTATGACATCATAACAATTGGAAGATGAAGTTCAATTATAATTTGAAGCTATTTTTCACTCATTTTTATCATACAAATATGAAAATATGGCTCTATACAGAGTCATATGAGAAAAACGTTCTTGTACTCGTACCTGTGCAGTATCGTTCATTCTTGACTCGCCTTGATAATATTTTTTTATCTCGTCTTCGACTCGATAAAGAAGAATTATCAAAGCTCATCAAGAATGGACGATCTTGCACAGGTACTCATACAATAACCTCTATATCTTATTTATTGGTTACCCTCATGATCACACCAGACAAAACAATTCAAACAAGAACACAAATGTGTACAAAATGTCCCCACCAAGTGGTGATCCCATCAAATGGTTATCCTGAAAATAAGTAGACAAGACTTTACAATTTGAGGACGGAAAATCCAAAGTGGCCACCTTAAAATTTACCCAGAACGCCAAAAATTTAGTCAGTTCTAGATTTTCATACTAAGAACCACCCCTGAAAATTTGATAATTGATCCGTCACGCAGTTAACCAGAAAACATGTAAACAAGACTTTACAGACAAGATTTCAGGATGGAAAATCCAAAATGGCTGCCTTGACATTTACCCAGAATGTCAAAAAACTAATCTGTTTGTAGATTTTCATACTAAGGATCATCCCTGAAAATATGAAATTGATCTACCAAACGGTTCACCTGAAAACGGGTAGACAAGACTTTACAGACAAGTCTGCCTTAACATTTACGCAGAATACAAAAAAACTAATCAGATGTAGATTTTCATACAAAGAATCATCCCTGAAAATTTGAAATTGATCTATCAAACCGTTCACCTGAAAACGCGTAGACAAGACTTTACAGGCAAGATTTTAAGACGGAAAATCCAAAATGACTGCCTTGACATTTAACCAGAATGCAAAAAAACTAATCAGTTCTTGATTTTCATACTAAGAATCATTCCTGGAAATTTGAAATTGATCTACCAAACAGTTCACCTGAAAACGAGTAGACAAGACTTTACAGACAAGATTTTAGGACGGAAAATCCAAAATGGCTGCCTTGACATTTACCAGAATGCCAAAAAACTAATGATATCTAGATTTTTATACTAAGAATCATCCCTGAAAATTTGAAATTGACCCACCAAACGGTTCACCTGAAAACGCGCAGACAAGACTTCACAGACAAGATTTTAGGACCGAAAACTTCAAAATGGCCGACAATAAAAAAGTCCTTAAGGTATGAGGTTCCATATCCATCCGCCAAAAGGTATGACCCCTATATAGTCCATTTAAAAACTCGTGGTATTGTTCTAAATAACGCCATAGTTGGCTTCTAGGGTACCTAGTATGCCACTATTTGGTATCAAAATAAAGAGGAGGAGTTCAACTTTCATTTGAATTACGAAAATAGCGATGTAGGTCAAAAATAGTTCCGACGTGAGCATGTTTACTACGCGTTTGCCCATTGAGGAAGTGGTAGCAAACGCGAGTCACAATAAATGGACGCTGATATCTCAAAAAGTAACCTGACTCCCTATAATTTGATGTAGATCAATCGAACCCCTATATGAACAGGTACATTTTGATATATAACACTATGGGGGGTAAGCGTTTTATAGTTGGTCACGAACGCCATATGTGCAAAGTATTGTTATGAATTTTCGAATTTGGTGTTGGATTACGGTACTCATACCTTATGAGTTTTTGCTGATTTCTTTTTACAAAATTATCACATATAACTACTGTTAACAATAAAGTAGGCTTTTACAACAAAGTACATCTGAAATTATTTATAAAGCTACTAAATAGTTAAAGTATAAAAACTCAAAAACACCATTCAATATGATACAAAGTATTATCGTGCGCTAACTTTTCTTAAGACATTCAAAATGGCTGACATGACTGAGCTAGCAGGTCCAAAACCTAATCAGATCTAGAATGAAGTGAGCTGAACAAGATTTTAACGTTTTAAAAGCAACTGTGAAGCGGTTTTTCTTAAAGTTTGCAGACAAGGATTTTAGCATTTGACTTCAAAATGGCCGACAGGAAGTAAGTTTCGAGTCAAATTTTTTTCATCCACATCTATAGGCACTCAAAAGTTATCCCTGAAAATTTGAAGGTGATATCTGTAGCGGTTTTGGAGAAAACTCCCGGACGTACGGACGGACGGACAGACGGACGGACGGACAGACAGTCGGACGCGCCTAGGCCGACAATATGGCCCCACACTATGTGGTGGGGACATAAAAAGGTAGAATTCATTGTGAACGCCCTAAAAGGTTTGGCGTATATGCCTCGAAACGAGTTTTACAAAAAGTAGTTCCTTAAATCAGTCAAGCCACGAATCTCTTTCACATTTGATCAATGCTGTGAGAGGGGTTTCCGATAATAGTTGATTTACGTGGTCAAAGAATAACATCAATAAAGCGTATTTTTGTATTATCAATATATATTGAGACAAACCGTCAACACCATTACTTAACATTGAAACCTGATTTTGATTGAAAACATGAGTCGATGATGATTTTGAAAAATAGTACTTTACGTCGAAAAATACGTAACAAGCTAAATATGTTTATTCAAATGTATTGTGAAAATGTTTTACATCTGTTAATAAGGCAATTTATATTTCAAAGAAGTAAATGGGAGATTATCATGAATAGTGCAGAGGCTTCTCGACACCGTTGATTTCAAGCATGGTGTCGATGATGGTGCCTTCGATGGCTACACATACTTAATGTCGATTTTCCAATAGTAAATTAGCAAATAAATTAATTCCAGCTAACGTACAATCGACACGATGCAGTCTTTGTGATGAAATATTCAATTATTATAACAAAATACGTTAAAAGTTACTGTCAATCAACATAAGGGTGATCGGTTACAGGGCAAAAAATGATAGTTTGGAATGTTCGACGATTGATAATGCGTTCAGCTTCTATAACCCCGAGGTAAAAACTAAATGATACTTTGCAGGTTTAAGAGACGTTTAATTTGATTCCAAATACTCATGATAGAGCGTATATTAAATAGCGGAATAAAAACATAATGTCATGTAACATAAAATTCGTTATAATGAAAGGAATACGTGGCTTGAGTGAAATATTCATATTTATGAGGTGTAAATGTTACTATAAAGCCAGACTTTAAACGCAAGGTTATGATGAACTGACTCACTATCTGTAAACACCAACTACCAAATTTAAAGCAACAAGCTACATGTAGACTTGCACATATTTTCGTCCGACAGACGTTATATTCAAGATGAAGTTTTCTGGCAAAGGAGTCATCGTCACAGGATCGAACAGCGGGATTGGTAAAGCAACTGCACTGCTATTTGCCAAGCAAGGAGCTAGTGTTCTAATACATGGAAGAAATCTAGACAGACTCGAACAAACAGTAGCCGAATGCAAACAAATTGGTGCCGAAAATGCCAAGTTCCCAATGGTCCAAGGAGACTTCCGGGAAAAGGAACTTATTACGAAACTCGTTCAAACAGCTTTGGATGAATTCGGCAGAATTGATGTTCTAGTGAACAATGCTGGAGAGTCTCCGTGTACATCTCTCTTGACAGGAACTCAAGACCAATTTGACTCTCAAATCAACTTAGCGCTTAAAACACCAATTTTTCTCTCGCAGCTTTGCTACCCAGAGTTAAGAAAATCCGGTGGAAATATCGTGAATGTATCAAGCATAGGAGCTGAACGCCCAAGCACTGATTTCGGTTTTGTATGCATAGCACATGCTGGGTTGAATCAGTTTACGAAGTGTGCTGCAATAGAATTCGGCTGTGAGGGTGTTCGAGTGAATGCTGTATGTCCAGGATGGGTGAAAACACTTGCGCCTGTTAAAAAAGGAGAGATAAGTGTTGAAGAATTGGATAGATTATATGAAAAAACGGCACAACGCGTCCCAATTAAAAGACTGGGAACTACAGAGGAAACGGCTAAATTGATCGTATATTTGGCTTCCGTTGATGCCTCAATGATGAACGGGGCCTGTATTGTACAAGACGGTGGATTTTCATTGATAGGACTGGATAATGAAAAACGATGAAGATCTAAGTGAAAAATAGAAACATTAAACGTATTTTGAATACTATTAAATTGATCGCTAATCTGGCTTCCGATGAAGGGTGAATGATGAACGGGACTGGTATAGTGCAAGATGGTGGTCTTTCATTGATAGGACTGGATATGAAAAACGATGACGATCTAAGTAAAAAATAAAACATTAAACGTATTTTGAATATTAAATTGATCGCTTATCTGGCTTCCGATGAAGGGTCAATGATGAACGGGACTTGTATTGTACAAGACGGTGGTCTTTCATCGATGGGACTTGATATGAAAAACAATGTAGATCTAAGTGAGAAATAAAACATTAAACGTATTTTGAATATACATTGATCGCTTATCTTACGATATTTAAGCCTATGTTTGATGGCTTCAAAGCAAAGCATTCCCTTACTTTTCAAACATAAAATCCATTCTAGGAAAATATGGACTGGATGATGTAATCTACAGAGATGGTGCTCACTGGTATCAGGCTTTTACCAAGATATCAGATCAAGAGAGGTTTAATCATTTTAAAACTGCATTGAAGGATAAGTCATCACTCTCACTGTATCAAAGTCTAAATCCCCACCCCTTCTTAAAAAACTACCTGACCACAGATTTTGACTTCTACGGGCAAAAACTTAACTTCAAAGCTAGATCAGGTTACCTTCCTGTTACACCCCAGTCACATTTGTCGCACGGCGGCCGTAAGTTGACCGCAGATCAATTAAATCGGTGAATTTCTGCGGCGAGCGTAGGAAAACTACGGGCGCCTTGCGGTCTCCGTACGGCGTATGCAGATTTTTACAGGTCGCAGGGAAGGCGTAGAAATTATAACTCGGGGTTCTAATATTTTTCATTTCTGCGGTGCCCGTAGAAATCAACTGGCTTAACAAGATTGAATCATTATTTGCCAATGTTTCACGATCACTTTTCATTTGCTATTACATCTTAGCACTATGAATAACATCTATAAATTGTCCTGATGTAAATAAAATGAAAAAAAGTATTATTTATCAACAGAAATTGAAAATTCACCGTGCGGCTGCCGTGGGAAATGTGACTGCAAAAGTATGAGAGCGCATGACTGGCCGCAGAAATGATAGACCACACGGCGGCCGTAGGAAATGTGACTGGGGTGTAACATTCGCTTGATACCGACCAGTGATGTTAGCATTGTCATTTCACGTCTAATGGTATCTGTTAATAGAGAGGTTAAGTTCCATGGGAGGATAGAATACTGAGGTTTCCAATGAGTTGAAACAAACAAAATATGATGACATTTTCACAGAAGCAATAAAGAAGGACTGGAAAGGCCACGGCTTCTCTATTGAAACAATATGCAAAATAAAACATACTTAATAGTTATTTGATCCATAAAGATTAGATAATGGCATCTATATCCTGTATTCAATGAATGATGAAGTATATTTATGTTAAACTCTATTGAAAATTAACTGTTTAGTAGATGATGTCATTTGGTATGATTACTATGGATATTAAAGACAACTGTTAACAGATCTGGAAATCAAACAAGTTTGATTGGACAATAGACTTATACACGTGTATTTGAGGGGTCTCTTCTATGAACCAATCATATTCGAGAAAGGCGTGGCTACGTTTTTAATGATCGATATAACATCCAATAAAAAGTAGCTCATTCCAAACAGATGATTTACAAAGTCACACCGGAATAGCCTGACAACGATTAAGTCAGGTACCGTTGTCACAAATGGCGGACATAACAGTCGCTTCGGCTTTTGAATCACTTGGTCCTCATTTCATTGTACTTTCATCGTCGCTAATTCTGTGCATGTATTAAGCTCTTGTGATGATGTATCGTATGAAATCCAAATTTTGTTCAAATTTGGTCGTGAATCGCAGCATTATAGTATCTTCGATATCGTCAATGACAGCGGAATCTAAAGGAGGATTGCAATTAGTGCAACAGATTTTGGATAGTCATATGTTGGATTTTGGCTTTTCTCCGAGGATTTAAAGTCCCCGATAAATCGGGCTACGTATACCGCCGTGTTTACATCAGGGGATTAGAAGAGTTTATTTTTTGTTTAGGTATGCAAGCTATATCAATATCAGGCCTTCATTCATGTACTCGTGTGCATGTAATCAGCATGCCCTTCAATTTATGTAAACCAGGCTATTCAAGTACATAATGTACACTATTTATGTGTGTACTATATGGGAATACAATTCCCTGGGAAACAAAACACAAATACTTTTGATATGTTTAAAATGAGCCATTTGATTGATGCATACACTCAATAGCTTCATAAATAACATCTACAAAGTATATCTAATAGTAATTTTTAATTTCAATGGTGAAACTTACTTGGTTACGATTATACGGGGAATCAACACGGAACGAAGATTGTTCACCTTCCTGGCTTACCTCTGAAGCCTGTACTCGGTAATCTCTTTATATAGGTTAGCGAGAGCGGTGCGCCTGCGCAGTTTTAAACTTTGGCGCACACTTTAAACAGGTGCATATGTAAGATGAATGCATTACCTCTAGGAAAAGCACTCATAGAGATGATAAAATAAGTTCGACTCTGAGACAGGGGATTTGCAAACAATCCACCCACATGTTTTTTTTTCTGAAATGTTAATTTGTTCTGATTTTCAACCCCTTCCACCCCTGCTTTCTCGATTTTTGTTGCATCAATATCTTGTGTTTTGACACATAGTTACCACTTTTAATCACATTTTTGTACGTAGCGTTACAATTGAAGCTATTGAACCGTCCAGTAACAGGGGTCAACCTCATGTCCCAACAGAGTAGTCTTTACAGATCGCAAATCTTTAACCTTTGAACAAAGGTTTAGTGTGAGTATTCAATTCAGAAGTAGCTTTTTGATTATGGTTAGTTGAAATACAAAAGTAAAAAATAGGCATATGGTGAAACATATTTTAGGATTAATATTTCTACGTGATTGGATGATTGATAAAATGTTCAATTAAGTTGATAGGCATCAGACAGTACACCATGATGTCATATGTGTCGATGAACATACAATGGTTATAAATATAGCGCTTACCAACCTACCAGATTGGAGAACAGTCGAGAGAGCATCTCCTAAACAGACACAAGCATAATCTAAAGTCACCATGCCTGTTCCTCAGAGAAGACTTAATGGTAAGTTGATTCGCTTTCCTTATATCCGATATACAGTTATATTTCAATCTGGGTTAAAATAATATCTGATGAATATAACACTATTTAGATGTATAATATCCCAAAGATGGTGTATGTAAACGGCACACTTAACTTTAAGGTGCGCCGTTTTGGTAAAGTTTTATTCTTTAATACTACACATAGCTGTGGAAACTATTTAGTATAGTCAAGTTACAAATACGAGTACATTACAAAATCAACAATTATAAAATGGTGTCAGGTATTTTCGAAATGATGGGGTATAAATGCTTTCTAGCGGTTATTTATTTACCAAATGGTTTTAATATAAAATATTCACTCCCCTACAAACCTTGGCAGCCTTTTTTCCTCCTAGGACTACGCGTGAAAGCCTCTCTTTGTTTGAATTTTTATTTGCATTACCTGCAAAGAAAAAACATATAATCAAAATGAGAAGTAATTTAACTTTATTTCTATACTTGTACCTCTCATTTTTCTTATTTGTTCTCACTTATAAGAGGTTGAAAAGTGATGGCAAAATTTTAAGAATTTTTGAAAATCAATATCCCATCTAAACCAATGGGAGATCCCAGGTTTACCGCAAGGAGGTGGATGAAATATGATTTCCAAAATTGACCTCGAAGCTCCGTAACGTTACTGTTCACCAAGCAAGCCAAACACTTAGCATGCAAAAAAATGCTATTTGAAAATATCTTTTTATTTCTATTCTATAGATATCCTGAAATTTGCTTTGTCCAGAACCCACCATTTAACATTGGAATTTATATTGGAATGACGATTTTCAAAAATTCATCAAATGTCATCAATTTTCGAACTATTGTAATTGAGGAAAAAATTGAAAAATGGAGGTATTGGAAGTAAACATAAAAATATTGTTGCCATTGATTTGTCCTACGTAAGCTTAATAAATCGAGAAAGTAATTGTACTGATCAAATAAGTTGAAAATTTAGTAAAAGAATTGCCATTGCAACCCTTGGTTATTTTTTCTATAAGTAATTCTTAATTTTGATTTATCTTGAATAAAATTCCAGACTCCCTAGGCCAATACACAATCAAAAAACTATAAAACAGCAACTCCACAGAGTAGCAAATCCCACTGAATAACATATATCTTGTTATAGCGCCCATATTGAAAAACATTATTGAACTGAGCCAAGAGGTGTAAGCATATAAAATGTAAATAAAATCCGTTCACTGATAATTGAGTAATCAAAAATTACATTTTTAACGACATCAGCGGCGATTTTGATACATAGCGGCCATCTTGAAAAAATCTTCTTAGGCAGAGCTTCTTTGTCTCTTGGTATCGGCATATAGAATTTGAACCGAATCCATCCTCTCGTATTTGAGTTACGTGTTTGAGACAGTGGGCGGCCATTTTGAAATTCAGCTGTTTTGTAATCTCAAAATTATCAGGTAGAGCTCTTTTGTCCCAAGGCATCAGCATATAAACTTTGAGCCGAATCCGTCAACTGGTATTTGGGTTATCAAAGATTACATTTTTAACCACAAATAGCAGCCATTTTCCAACATAGTGGCCATCTTGAAGATACATTCCCCTCCATAAGTTTGGCAACCTTAGCTCTCCCGTTGATTTACGTGTTAAAGCCTCTTTACGTTTGAATTTTTATTTACTAACCTGCGATGAAATAACTTCTAATATTGACGGAAACGTAACTTGACTTTATTTCCAATACCTCCAAATTTTCCCAATTTTTTTTAAGGAAGAAATGTTCAAGATGGGCATTCAATTCCAAAATGACTTCCATCATTTATAAAAAAAAAGGTAATCTTTGATAACACAAATACAAGTTGACGGATTTGGATCAAATTGAATATGCTGATGCCTCGGGGATAGGAATCCTGCTCAAGAAGAATTTTTCAATTAAGCTTCAATTTAGCTTCCGAATGAATGCAATAATCATAAAAATGTAATATTTGATATCTCGAATAGCATTTATGAACTTTTTTCCAACATGTATAGCTAGGTTAATGTCTTATGGGCAAAATACCTCTGCCCAAGAAGGTATTTTTAATATGGCCAGTCAATTTGAAAACATCACGTGACTCCAATGAGGATTGCATAAAAATTTCGTTGAACAAAGAACATTTTTGAAAAGATTGCTATACCTGAACATGTTATTTTTTCAAACAGGTAGGTACATAATAACGTATGAATGAATGAATGAATGAATGAATGTGTGTATTTCCAAGGATGTCTACCAAGATAGACGTCCTCGGTATTTCCCTTTCTTTTTCAGAAAAATATCATTACATTGTCTTAATATAAACCTTGTAAGACGTCAACGGTAACTCTGATGTTGTCCAGTAACTTTAAGAAACAATTGGAAAATTGAAAAGACTATGGCTATTTCTCTAAAACATTTTAGTTACCATTCTATGTCTATTTCAATAATCTGCAAAAGGCTAATAAGCCCATATAAAGCAGATGTAATAGCTAACTTTGTAAGCCCAGATGTATAATTTAACAGTGATAGAATATGAATAGAATATAATTTAAAACCTTAACATTAAAAAATAGATCTATGGTTTACAATTTATTTTAAAATTGAAAGGAACCTTCCTGGTTGGCCCCTGTACCCCCCTAGGAGGTCATTTTATGTTGAAATACCCTGGGGCGACTGTCAGGCTACCGCGCTGACATAACCCCTCTTTCCCCTCTATCTCCACTATTTAATTGCAGTTATTGACATAGGCATAGTATGATGATTTAAGAAACAATTGGAAAATTGAAAAGACTATCGCTATTTCTCTAAAACATTTTAGTTACCATTCTATGTCTATGTCAATAATCTGCAAAAGGCTAATAAGCTCATATAAAGCAGATGTAATAGCTAACTTTGTATGCATCCGTTCTAATTGATGGTTGTATGAACTTAGAAAAATGATACAACCTAGAGTTGGTATTGATCTGTAGGCGGTAAAAAGAAAGAATCTGGATTTTGAAGCCCTGTGATCGGAGGATGCTATTTCCTATACCTCCAAATTTTCTCAATTTTTTCCTCAGTCACAATAAGTCGAAAATTGATGATAAAGATGAATTTTTGAAAATCGTCATTCCCATGTAATCCAAAGGGAAATGGAGGGTTCGGGGCAAATCAGAATTCAGGATATCTTTTCAGTAAAAGATTCAACAAAAAATATATCTATATAGAAAATTGAATTGTCTAACTTTTTTGTACGTTAAGTTTTTAGTTTATTTGATGAATACTAAAGTTACAGCGCTTCAAAGTCATTTTTGAAAATAATTTTTCGCCTCCTGTGTTATTTCAATGGGAGAGGTTTTTCGAAAAATAATTTTGACTTTAAAGCCCTATAACTTTGTTGAACCTGAAGAAACATGTCAATTTTTTGTTAGATAAAGTTAGCAAATTCAATTGCCTGCCTGACTCGTATTTTCTGCAAGGACTCGGATGGATGGATATCCTGTCATTTGATTTGCGGCAAACCTACCATTTCCCACTGGTTAATATGGGAATGTCGATTTTCAAAAATTCATCAAATTTATCATCAATTTTCGACTTATTGTAATTGAGGAAAAAAATTGAGAAAATTTGGAGGTATTCGAAATAAAGTCAAATTACGTTTGCATCAATAGTTTAAGTATTTTCATCGCAGGTTAAGTAAAAAAAATCAAAGGTAAAGAGACTTTAACACGTAGTCCATTAGGGAGCTAAGGTTACCAAACTTATGGAGGATAGTGTATCAATAATATATTTTTGTCGGTATGGATCCCATGCCGAACTGGCATATTGACCTTTTAAATAATCAGCTTATAAAATTTGAACCAAATCCGTAAAAATTGTATTTGAGTTCGTGCCCAGACATGCCAGACTGACGAACGAACGGAAGAATGAACGGACAGACATACGTCCATACGTCAGTCTGTCAGGGCAATGGAGAGGTTAAGCTAACGATGTTTTTCACAACGTAACCGTGAACGCAAAGTACAAAAATTAACAAAGGAATGTATCGAGCGCTCATAGTTTTATGCGCGCTTAGTCTACTTCAGATACTCTTTCAGCTTCAGAGTTTCGGGTTTAGAACGGGAGATTTGAATATTTGACGTTGGGTCAACGGGAACCATTTTACTCGTGTCTATTGAACACTATGCTGTCAATTTTGATTTCGATGTACAGTTGAATTCTTGCTGAACACGATGATGTATGTCATGCATGATTTAGCGCCAAAAATCTTACGAAACGAGCTCGTTTAAAATATATATTAGAAAACCAGCTATAAAACCGCATCAATGACATACTATAGAATCATTACACGCTATGGTGTAGTCTAAACAAACACTGGATTTGAACGGCTATTTATATGAGAAGGCTACATGAATTTGTATATGGTCGAGTGATACGTACAGGTTCAGTTTCGATTATATATGCAAAGCTTAACCTCTCCACTAACTCAAATAAGTATATGCCCAATGTCAGTAAGCCTACAAGTTCTACTTGAAAGACAATTTACAAAATGCTTAGCTGTCCGTTTAAAATGGTAGCCATTTTTGTATCTATTTTATAGTATAAGTACAACATGTTAGCATAATATATTAATAAGTTTTAAATGCAAAATAATATATACACCCTTGGTATACGCAGCTAACGAAAATTGACCGGTATGGGTCAAAAGCTGGACCGGTACGGGTTAACGGTTTTATTTGAATTTAAAATAGCCATAACTTGCTCAATATTGACTTCCTCGTGTCTAATTTCTAACATATAAGATCTATTTTTCCCCATCAAGGTATGATGTAAATGACATGCTATTTACATCTTGTGAGTTTCAATGACGCGCGTTTGATTTTATAAAAAATGCCAAACTTTGTGATAAAGAATTTCATCAGCTATTGCCCCGAACCGGTCCATCTTCTCGTTGCAAGCAGATTGCTCCGAACCGGTCCGTCTTCTCGCTGCAAGCAGGATGAAATTCTTTGTCACAAAGTTTGGCATTTTTTATAAAATCAAACGCGCGTCATTGAAACTCACAAGATGTAAATAGCATGTCATTTACATCATACCTTGATGGGGAAAAATAGATCTTATATGTTAGAAGAACTAAATAAAAGTTATCGTGAAAATGAGAGAGTCGTTCTCGAGAGAAAAGAGCATAAATGCGCATTTAGAGAGTTTTGGTCCGTTTAAAAATCTGTAAAAAATTGGGGTACTTAAAAGCATCGGGAGGCATCATATATTACAAATTAGACACGAGGAAGTCAATATTGAGCAAGTTATGGCTGTTTTAAATTCAAATAAAACCTGTTAACCCGTACCGGTCCAGCTTTTGACCCGTATCGGTCAATTTTCGTTAGCTGCGTATACCAAGGGTGATATAGGGCGGCTATTGATTGATGAGAATCAAATCATTAAAAAACATAGCGGTCATAGCTGAAGAATATTACCCTGTCTAATGACAATTCGGGTAATTTGTGGTCAGTTCCTTTGCTGTTAAGGCAGTTGTTGAGAAATAAGTGAATCTATAAATAATTCAATAGCAAAATGTTATTGGTATCACTACGTATCTTTCACGGCATCAAACTGTTAACTTATTTTTGTTTATATTTAAGGTGTAACCCAGTCTCTATGGGTCATTGTGGTGGTTATTTTGGCCTTGGTGCCAAAAACTGAAAGCATCACCGTTGCAGAAAAACAAGCGATCAAGAAAGGCTTGCAAACTGGGAAAGAGATTTTGGGTTTAATAGCAGACCATAAATTTCATGAAACATTAACAAAAGTTGCGACAGAGGTAAAAGGGTTCCTTGGCGCTTTGGGTCCATTCATTGGCCTTGTTATGACATTCGTGCCATCTGCAGATTCAGCAGAGTTGGAATTCATGAAAAATATGATGACAGAAATTGACAACCACTTCGACCGAGTAGATTCCCGCTTTAATGATGTTGAACGGTTAATTAAGTGGACTGAAACAGCTGTTAAATTTGGGGAAATAGAAACAGCACTCAATGCTTTGGAGGAAGAATATCGTCTTTTTTATAAAAGTACTGCGTCGTCAGAAAACGTGAAAGAGTTATTTATAAAGAGATACGACAGCAATTATAGGCTTGCAGGCACAAAATTGTACCAGGCATTAGTTAACCCAGGAGGCACCTTCAATGAAAATCTTGGACAGGCCGTTATGAGGTACACAAAAAATGACCGCAAGAAGACAGAAGATTTTCTTCTTGGAATTTTTGATATGATTTTCCAAGCAATTCGACTTGAAGCTGGTTATCACGAAATGATTGGTTTTACAACCATAAAAGAAGAAAGGAATAAAGAATGGGAAACACGAGTACAAAAAGTAAGAGAGAAACAAGACGAGATTGACGTTGCTGTTATGAATAGTTACCATGCCCAGTCTAAAGATGAAATATTAGATTATGCCAGGGATAATTCCGGAATGAGTAATGAACAATTAAGTAAAGGATTGTTGAGTTTACTTGAGAAAAAATATTATTGGCGGGTGTGGTTTGTTTTAATTTACAATCCGATTACTGGTTCAAATAAGCATACAGTGAAAGTATGCGACGGACATTTATTATTTCGACAATACGGACGTAACATCGTTATAGCAAGCAAGGACAAAGCGCAACCAAACATGAATCTGGATAACGCTAAGAGAGAATTGCAGAAGTTTTCCTATAGACTTGTTCCTGGACCCTTCCGTGGCTACCTAAAGCAAACCTTCTATGGCAATACAAGACTGTCTAGCCTCTACAATGCCGAAGAATACTTCAACAAAGCTGATAAAACAAGTTGCTGTGGATTTGCTGTCGTGGATAAAAATGCTAATGTATTTTACAAAGCCAGTGAGAACAGAGTAGCAAACCGTGATTTTTTTGCATATAAAATGTTCATGTTTGGTTAAACAATTGGGTCATGAATTAGGTGTTGGCAGACACACAATTTAAAAAGTACCAACTTTAGACCTTATGAGACTTGAAATTGAACACTGTATAATTGTAATTGCCTTCTATAGACTGAAACATTTTATTTGTGTCGCTTTACATTTTTCGCAATATAATAACTAAAATAGTAACTAAGAAAGATTGTGTTGATGTTTTATACAGATATGCCCAACGGGGCACACCCCGATTTGTAGTTTTTAGCTCACATGGTGAGCTTTTGCGATCACTCACTTGTCCGTCTGCCTGTCCGTAGAGTAGAGGAGATGGTAAATAAACTCGGGTTTTGGAATAATGACACAGGCTTCAATTCAACATGTGTGCCTGTATTTAAAGATGAATTGAATCATGATAGTTCTTAAGGAAAGGTGACAAAGTAATTAAGTACCCACATTTGACAAGAAGTTAACAAAAAATAAGTTACTTTTTTGTATTACGTATTTCTCTTACAAAGGTAAAATATTAAATAAATACTTGTTTAAACACAATCCTTACAAAATGAAAATATAGTTTGTATCAACGGCTTACTCACTTCGAGAGCCATGTTAGATTTTGAAACTTATGGCTCTCCAACTGAGAAATGGACTGCTGAATAATAGTGACACGAATAAAGGTGATCAGTGGCTTTCTCTTGTTCTCTAACACGAATAAAGGTGATCAGTGGCTTTCTCTTGTTCTCTAACAATGTCATACATCATTATCATCTTTCCGTGCAAGTACTGGAGCGCTGAAGTACTTCCTTTTCGATCAAGACTTATAATTATTAGTCGAGTGAATGTTTCTGTCTAATTCCAATAATTAGAGAGCCAGAGTTACTTAGAGCCTGGTTGCAGTTTGCACACTTCGTATTGTATATGTGTCATAAATTGTTTAGTTGTAGTCTGTAGAACATAACAAGATGTCTATTCTTTGTTTATGTCAAAATAATAGATCTTGTCAATATGCGTAGCCAGGTGGATGCGATGGGATCGCACCCCCCCCCCCCCTATACCAATAAAAATATGAAGAAAAGAGCTTTAAAATGCTTTTTATTCTAAGCTTCTAGCCCTATTTTGAAGGAAGTTGAATCAAGTTTTGAAAAATTTAAGCTAGATCTTAATTTTTGGCTTTTTATGCACCCCCTGACTGAAATCCGCAGTCAGGGGCAATGACCCCCCCCCCCCTGGCCGAAAACTGACTACGCCCCTGTTGTCCCTGCAGAATTGGATATAATATTTCATTGCTAGTTTGGCACCCGTTACTTCACGTAGTATCAAGGGGATTGATGGTACTTTGTACAGGAAACAAATGTATACATATGGATAGAAGAGTTAAGCGCTAGCGAAGTAACCTCCTTTGTATATGCACCAAAACATAGAAATAGATTTTTAAAATCTTGATTATTGGAATCAATTTCACTTATCGATTAAGGTTATTTTAGTTACATGTATTTTTATGGTACACAAATTAGAATTTGTTCCTCTTTTCCCTTTTTCACAATTTTTGTGCAACATGTTTGGTCATTTTCTTGACATTATCATTTATACCGGCATAGGTCTTTATATTTTATAGTGTTGTAGAGTGGAATTACCTTTTAGCATCTCTTTCAACCAGTCAAGTATTCCTGAACTATTCGTTAAGTTTCTGTCCAGTATCATTTATTTATGATAAGCTCTTCCTGATGTCATCACCTCCATAGTAAGTATTTGATGGAGCTTATTATCATCTTCGACTTCCAAGTTGTTATACAGTTGGAGCAAATGAAACATTGAGAATCAAGATGGCCAATTATCAGAATTTTCAATCTTAAATGGGTTCTCATTTGCTTCTACCAACTTGATTATTCTTTGTAAAGATGACTCATTATTTCTGGAGCAGCATGGGGGGGAAGCTTTTTGACAGTTTTGGCAAAAAATCATGCGAAAAGTGCTCAGTATGGTGAAAAACTGCATGATTTTTTTTAAGAATTTCTGACCAGGGGAGAGCCGCCGCTCCCTCCCGAAAGCTATCTTTCGGACTGCAAACAGAGAGTTGTCATAAACGGTGTTCATTCTGACTGGCGTTACATTGAAGCAGGTGTCCCTCAATTCACAATACTCGGACCTCTCCTATTTCTGTTATATATCAATGACATTGTTGAAAATAAAGATACCGACATATAAAACCTTTTCGCTGATGATACCTCTCTACTTGAAGTAGTGGACGACCCAATACTTAGCTCAGTTAAAATGCAACATGATAAAGACCAAATAGAACAATGGACAGAAGGATGGAAAGTTACCTTTAATGCTGCCAAGTCAAAACTTCTGATAATCTCACTTAAACAAAATAAATTTAATTATTCTGATATAAAGTTGAACAACTCTGTAATTCAAACAGTTGATCACCATACCCATTTAGGACTTACAATACAATCAAATATGAGCTGGCATCTTCATATTTACAATATTACTAAGAAAGCAAATGTGAGACTTGGCCTCCTGAAAAGGAGTTCATTTAAATACAACTTAAATCAAAATGAACTAGAAACATTATACTTTTCAACGGTTCGATAAGTACTTGAGTATGGGGACATCCTTTATGATAATTGCCATTTATTCCAAAGTAAATCTTTGGAACACATCCAAAGAGAAGCTGCTATATTATGTTCACATGCCTATAGACATACTAAATATAATGATATTTTGAATGAACTTGGCTGGGACTCACTCAAAACCAGAAGACCATTACATATTACCACCATTTTCCATAAAATGGTTTATCAAAATGCCCCGCTTTATTTGACTGACCTCTTAACCCCTCTCTCCCAAAAGCAGACCAGATATAGTTTAAGAAACCAAAACTATTTCAATATACCCTTCTGTAGACTTAACATGAATTACAGGTCGTTTCTTCCAAATGCTATTAGAATATGGAACCTTGAAAAAAAAATTAGGAACATTGTTTATCTCCCTCTATATGTTTAAATATGAACTAAAACATTCTATTTGTAAAAGCAAAAATAAACGTTACTCATTAAAAGCCAGCAATTCTGAAATTAAGCATGGGAGAATCCGAATGGGTCTCAGTGCTTTAAATCATCAACGTTTCTCTTACAACCTCATAGACCGCAAACATTGTGCTTGTGGTTTCGCACAAGAGACACTACTTTATTATTTTCTTGACTGTCCCCTCTATGTAGACCTATGAACTACTCTTTTCAGGGAATTAGGGAACATAGTCATAACCAATAGACATAATCTTCTCAATCGTATAATTCACATAATGTTTCCATATTTTATAAAACGGACATCATGTGGCTATAGTACTCTGATACTTTTCAGAAAAATTAAATAGCAGATATTTTCCTTCGGGAATCGTGCCCTCGACATGCGGCACAATTCTCCCAACAGATTACTGAAGCAAATATTATAAGAAATTCAAAAGAAACAACACTTTGGATTCGAAGTTGAAATATAAAAATAAAGTCGAAATGTTAAATAATCTTATTATCAAGGCTAAACTTAACCATGAACAGGAAATTTGTGAAAATCTTCACACTTATTCAAGTGGGGAACATTTTTTATTGGAGTGCTATTAAAAAATTACTTGGAAATAAATTTTCCTCTGGAATTCCAACTTTAAGAAATTCATCTTTGACAAACATATGTAGTACAGATGAAGAAAAACGAAACGAATTTTTGAAATTGTTCGTAGGTAAATTTCACTTTGCCAATACCCGCGACACAAATGCATTACCATTTTTTCCAAATAGAACAAATAACCTTTTGACTTGTAATTTTATCACACCATCGGAAATAAGAACCCTCATAGCTGACCTTGACACATCAAAAATTACAGACCTGTCACATTACTTAGTAATATATCCAAATTATTCGAAAAAGTTGTGCATCAACAGATGATGAAGTTCCTTTTAGATAATAAGTTATTATATGAAAATCAATCAGGTTTCCTGCCTAGTCCCAGCACTGACAGTCAGCTACTAAGTATTATTAATTTTATAATGAATGCATTTGAAGACAAAGCGGATGTACGGGGAGTCTTTTTGGACCTGGAGTCTGCGTTTGATAAAGTTAGACATAATTTACTTATCCACAAGTTAAAATCTTATGGCTTCAATGATAACCTGTTGAAACTTATGAAATCATACCTAGACAATAGAAGAGTATGTACATGCCTTAATGGAACTTTATCCGAATTCTCTGAAGAAAATTTTATTAACTCTGGTGTGCCTCAAGGCTCTATTCTAGGCCCAATCCTGTTTTTGCTATTTATAAATGATCTCCCAGAGGCCATCCAATCAAAATGTTATATTTATGCTGACGATACTTCTATACACGTCCCTGAAAAATGTTTTAACATCAAATACATTATTACAACATGATCTAGACAATGTCTATGACTGGTCAAGGGTTTGGGGGCTTAATTTTAAGCCCACGAAAACCAAAGAGATAATTTTTTCCAAATCTATTCAAAATATAAGAAACTTTCCTATTTTGACCTTGAGCAACAGAATAATTGAAAGAGTAAATTATCATAAACATCTTGGGGTTATCTTTGATAACCACCTTGACTTCAAAGAACATATAGCTCAGTTGAAAGTCAAAATTGATAAAATGCTTAACCCACTTACAGCATTGAAAAATAAAATTTCATCCAAACACCTTGATAGAATGTACTTATCGTTCATTTTGCCAAAATTAGAATTTGGATCAATCTTTTATAATTGTTCACCACATTATGCCCTAACTACCTTGGATAGGTTACACTACAGAGCCGCCCTGTTAGTGTCTGGGGCCATTAAGGGCTCCTCTGAAATCAAAGTCTTGAATTCACTTAACCGGAAGACACTAAGTCAGAGAAGAGAAGAAAAATGGCAATTCTAATGAACAGGGTATCCAAAAACAAGACTCCTAGTTACGTACAATCTATATACAATGAACTTAAAAATCCAGGTACAGAGCGTGTACTTCGTGCCCAGCAC